AGAACCGTGGTGGTGTAGTGGCTAGAATGCAATAAAATGCAGTATTGCAGGCTAATTCTGCCAACTGTTAGGAGTTTGATCCTGACCGGTTCAAGGTTGACTCAGCCTTCCATCCTTCCGAGGTCGGTAAAATGAGGACCCAGATTGTTGGGGGCAATATGCTGACTCTGTAAATGGCTTAGAGAGGGCTGTAAAAGCATTGTGAAGCGGTATATAAGTCTAAGTGCTATTGTTATTGCTATCTTAGTCTGTCTCTTGAAACCTACGATGTGGAAGCATGAGTGGGGAAATTGAGAGAAAAAGAAAGTGAGAAAGAAAAAGGGAAGAGGAGAAAGTAAAAAGAGAGAAAACACAGGAAAAAGAGGAGTCAGATGAAGAGAAAGCGTGACTCTCTCCTCCTCCACCCAACGTTTTGGCCCTACTTATTTATTAGCATGCAGACCCCACAGACTTTTCTCCACATCAGGTGAATTCTTAACACAGAAAGAAGTTGTTCAGGCCTAAGATGATAGATTGCAGAGCACTTGTCAATTTAACTATTGGCAGGGATCTGGACAGTTTAAAGATCAGGGTTTTATTATGCAATTATCCTTTTGGAGTATGGGGAGGTGTGCCCATTTTCCAGCAGTCACCTTTCAGTGCTTTCCTAGTACTGCCGGTGTTTTTCTCACACAAAAAAAGCTGCTTCATGACTTTTGACTGTTAAGTCTAGGACCCGAGGGTGCAACATTTTTGTAGATGTCGGCCTTACTAATTGAGCTGATATGCATTTCAAAAATTAGACAGCCGGCACCATGATAAAACTAACTAGACTTTAATTGTTTTTAATTTAAATAGAATTACCTTTAAATAAATATAGTTGCCATTATTCCCCAGGCATGTAACGATTTTCCATTTATCCTATATTAAAAAATATCAATAGGTAGCAACTTTTGGAGAATCTTGAGAATTGCATTTAAGATTTCTGAGGACCATTTGCAGTTCCAGAAGCTCAGGTTCTGCCTTTTTGCTTTAGAAATTGCCCATTTATAGGCACTTCCTTTGGCAATATGGTTGTAGAAGGCTATTTTGCAGTCCATTCAAATTTTGTAATAGGAGAATTATTAGAAGCACGTTTTAACTTTTGCCAAGTTAACTCTAGGACAAAACAAGGGTGATGTTTTGAGTTTTTGTTTTTTGTTTTGCAATGGTAGGCATGCTTGCTGACATCCAACATAGCCCCAACAGTAAAAGTGTTCCAGATTTTCTATTCCCTTCCCCCCTCAACAGTGATACATCAAACCAACTCTGTCACAAACATTGGAGACATCACCTTATCTTTCAGCCGCACCAGCTGTTATCAGCAAGAATGAAATTTCCTTTTTAATATTTCACTTTAGCCCAAATTACAGTTGATGCCCTACCCGTAAGTCAACCTGCTGTTTCTCATCTATGCAGGGCAAGAGAAGAAGGGATGTGGGTCCCAGAGATGATTACAGCATTTTATCACCGCCAGCCCCAGATAATTCAGACAGTTATCTCTAGGGCATTTGTTATTGGGGTGCCTGGGGAACTGAAGCAGCAACGTTAATCCACCTTGAAAGAGATCAGATGCTCCTACAATGAGACCAGCTTGCCTCTCAATTCACTACATCTCCCGTCAGAAACTTTGCAAGATGACAAAGCCTCAGCCTTTCAAAGAACCCCGGGATTTAAGAGCCAAGGCTGAAGGTAAAACAGCAGCTTGGAAAAGGGGTGTGGAAATGTTGGGTATGGATGTCATTCTCTCCAAACAGCTGCAGCAGGATTCCCAGTTCTGAAGCAAGGTGGAAAGTGAACCACTTTAAAAAAAAAACAGGCAGGAAAAATCTAATTTATTTCCTGAACTTTCTATGGATTCTTACCAAGACAGATACTAAATCAAATATTTCTGGGAGAAGAAGAAGATTGGCGGGGAGGGTATATGGGGAGAGACAGAAACATTAATAAACATTGCATTCTAGTTTTGCGTATATTATCAAGCCAGATTTTCATTGCCAATCTATGTCTTTATCTTTATTATTCATCCATGCAGTTTCTTTTAACATTTCTCCATATACCATTAAGGTACAATTCTTTTCTCTTCTCCTTCACTTTATTCCAAACTCATTCTTAAGTAACCTTTTCTTCCCCAATTTCATGTTTTTCGTCTTTCCCAGTAGTCCTTCTTAGTAGCAGCAAATTCTTTTTATGATAGTGGAGAACAAACTTGTCATTATAATGATGGCTTCTCTCGACTCTTTTGGTCTTCTTTCTCTTTTGTAGATGTCAGGTACTTTATACTACAAAAAACTGTGGGAAATTCTGGCCAATTGGCAAGACAAAGCCAGTGTCACAAGGACTCAGGATAAGGCCAAGGTTGTCAGAATATTCTACTGCCAATAACTAAAGATGAGAGTTTTAAAATTTTGCCTTTATAATTTTTATAAAACTCAAGGTGGCAAAGATATCTAATACTCCTTCATCCTCCTAAATTCCCCATAATAACAAACCTGTGAGGGGGACTGAGAGAGAATGACTGGCCCAAAGTCAGCCAGCTGGCTTGCATGCCTGAAGCAGGATTAGAACTCACAGTCCCGTTTTCTAGCCTGGAGCCTTAATCACTAGACCAAACTGCTTTTTTTTTTTTTTTGGTTCTAAAGAATTTTCCTTAGAAATATAATTCCTTCTATCCTGGAACTTTGTGTGGGTAGCAAACATGTTTACATTTGGTGCGGGATAGTTGCAAAGAAATAAGCTTGAAAGTTCTCAGTTCCAAATTGCCTCTGAAAATAACTCACTGGGTGGATGGGGGGGGGGGATTATTTTTTCTTAGCCCATCCGCCCACCACAATATGGGAATAATAACAGTGGCCAGCATTGTGAGATCATTGCAAGGACACAGTGCCGTGAGAATTGTGATTATATCTTGCTAATACACGAAAGGGTTTTGTGGCTCCATTAAAATTTAGATTAATTATAGCATAACCAAGTCTCTTTAGCATAAAGGAAAGCGCAGTCATAGGGTCCCAGCGCCAATAAGCTTCCCTTTCTTTATTCTTTGGCTGCAGACGTTTGAGGCATTTTTTTTCTCTGAAGGAAGATGTTCAATTAAAAATAAATGTATCTGTTTATGTATCCATGAACATAACTTGGGATATTATATCCATTTTATAGAAAAGGAATCAGGGTTTAAATCATGGCTTGAAGTCAAGTTCCCTGTCTCTAAAGCCCATTCATGAGATAGCACAGTTCCAATCTCACCTTGAGTGCTTGGTCCATTTCCCCCCAGGAAGTTGAATAGCCAGATCCTAGATACGGTTATATGGAATTGCTGCTCAAGGACATTCAGACATAACCTGATTTGCCTGATCACTTGCTTCTAAAAATGGTCACAAAAGCCTTTTTGGCTGAAAGGCAAGAGCCCAGAATTATAGCGTAGGAAGGGGCTTCATATGAAAATGAAGTTTCTCTGTAGCGGAACTGGTTAGGTTGATATGTCTGGATCATCTATTACATTCTTCCAGTGTTGTGTAGTGAACATGATTGATGCACACATTGGGGCAAGTGGGGGGACCTCACACTTTCATTTTGTGTGTATTTAAGAAAGGGCCATTGCCTTCCTTCCATTCTTTACTCAATACAGTTCTTTTACAGTATGTCAGTCTCTCAGTCCGGCATTTCAGCTTTTCTAAAAATGACTACACCACTCTCCATTTCCAAGCAATGCTTTCCTTTCGCCATTCTGTCCTGTCGGCCATACCAGCATATTTTCTTTTTAAATTTATATTTTGCTCCCTTTATAACTTGTAGCCTCTTGACGGATCATTACTTTGACAAGCCTTTTTTCCCTCGCACCTGATGTACTCCACATTAATTTTTCATAGTAAATGGACAAGAAAGAATGCCATCTTTTCTCTGATTCTTTTTTTTTTTTTGCTTTGTTTCTAACAACTGGAATGCTTCTTCACTTAGTAAGAAGAAAAATTCAGAATTCCGACCCACCTTGGAAGAATTCAGAATACTGGTCCACTTTACCTGATACTTGTATGTTTATGCAGAAGAAAGTCTTACTGCGTTCCCCAGGTCCCAATGCCCAGTATGACTGTTTCCCATCTATCTGTTAATTATTCTTATTCTCCAGATAGAGAATCTTATCTTGCTCGGGCAAGAAATTGACATGCATCGGCTATCTGTTCATTATTGCATCTATTTTATCCTGTTCTTTGATTATCAAATCTATTTTATTTGTATTTTTTACAGAAATCTTTCTGAACCATGGCTACTCTGTCCACATGATCCCCCCCAAATGTATAGCTTTAAAAACAATCTCAATTCACTAAGATACTTTTTTCACTTGTCCGTTTGTATCACAAACTCTTAAGACCATTTTATGTGTCCCTAGAAGTAAATACTTTCTTCCACTGCAATCAGTAGCTTTCTCCAATGTTTCTATTATTTCTAACACATTTGGTTGGATCACTATCCCTTCCTTCATTTTTAGAAGAGGAAGAAAGCAGGCAGGTAAACCACCCATTTTACTACTTCCAGCAGAGAAGACATCTAATTTTTCCACTGCCTATGACTGTGGTTATGCCATACATAAAGGCAAGAAGCTGCCCTCAGCATGAGAAGTTGCCCAAATCTGCCTGAGAACCGGTTTTCTTTATCAAACCCAAGTATGCAAAACAAGAGCTAAGATAGGGTACCTCTACCCATGTGCCAAATGCATTTCCCTTCTTGATGAGTACAACAAGCCCTGTTTTATATTTCAATTTCAGCAGACCAACTTCAGCTAGATAGAGCTTATTTTCAGCTCTCTAGCCAACCGTGGTGCCATTTCTTTTTCCAGCTTGTATTTTTTCAGACTATTTTTTTTTCTTTAATACTAGCTCCCCTTCTTAGCATTTCCAGGCCCTCTCTCAATCATTAAAATCCCAGCCATAAAGCAACGGGCATTTTTTAAACCACAGTGTTTGGGCCATACAGTGGATCAAACTGACCTGATGCTGAGGGCAAACCTTCTCTACGTTCTGAACGTCTCCTGGTCCACAAAACTGGAGAATAAGAAAAGTTGGGCTGACCTTGGAGAAAGTGGTCCCACTTCTGGCTGCTGATCTGTTCAACTGAGCCCTCTGCAAAGATCCCAGCCTGTTGATGACAGAGGAGACCGAAGAGAAACAGGGAGGGGACCCAAAAAAAAAAAAAAAGCAAGCAGACACCCAAGTGATGTCTCCGCCTTCTCCAAAAGGCCCTGACAAAGAGGATGAAGAACAGGGAAAAGAACTGTATGTGTGTTTATATGTGGGGGAAACACTCCTAACACTTGTACATGAACCCAATGAAATTAAAATTTTCCTACTTTCCCAGTTCAAGGATAAGCTCCAGAGTCTGAAGTTGGAGAGTAGAAATCTAACTTCGGGGAACCTGTATTAAAGCCTGAAATGGCCGTTGCATTTAGTAGGCTGAGGTCAAGCCTACTAAATGCAACTCCAAACCTCATTCAAACTTAATAGGAGAATTTAAGTTTCTGCAAATTAAAAACAAAACAAGGAAGTTAACCATCAAAGTAACATATCTATTGTGGTCTTATCTCTTACTAGCTGAATCCAGGAATGTAAGATATCGTTCACGTAGTCTTTCATGCTGGGAAGGATGTAGCCTCTCTCTCCCTCCCTCCCTCTCTCTTTTCTCACATTTTTCCAGCTTCATATTGCTGCTCTCCAGAGCTTTCACGTAAAGAAGGTTGTACAGACAGCAGGTGGTAACTTCTGAGTCCGGATAGTGAAAAGTATAGATGGCACCACAGTGAATGTAAAAGTGAAAGAGTATAGTTATTTAGTAGAGGACAAAATTATCAATGTCTGTAGATCACAAAGGTATGTGTGACCTGCACTGGAAATAGGGCACCAATTGCTGGGAAACGTAAGGAGACATAAGATTGCTTGGGGTAACTTGAAGGCATCTGGTTGGCCATTATGGGAACAGAGTGCTGAACTAGCTAGCTCATCGGCTGATATATTTATTTATTAAATTTATTTGCCACCCATCGGACCACAAGGTGACTGATCCAGCTGAGCTGTTCTTCAAAGCAGAGCCCTGGCTTTATTTGTAATTAGTCTTGATTCGAAAAATAGGTCTGAGAGTGATCCTGAAGGACAGAGAGGTAGAACCAATAAATGGCTTCCTTGATTTTCTAAATTAGTCTCAGTTAAAGCATGGGTGTTCCTACCCTGTCCTTCAGGATGAATTTCCTCAGTGCTTTTTACAGATGGAATTGTCACTCTTCACAATTCACTCTCCCCCCATTCCTCTCCCCCTCCCAGCTTAGAAATTAAATGCCTTTGAAATTACAGCTCAAACACCTCTTGACATAAATGTAGATGCCTAGAAATAGGTACTTGTGAATGCAAAACGGCAGTGCACAATCTCCCCTTCCCCTCCTTGCAACTGTAGGTCTGCTTGTTCAGATAGTGAATGGCAGCAGGTGCTATCAGGTTAAATTCTGAGGTTTGAAAAGGACAACTGGATTTATTGGGAAGCAACTGTCATGTTTAGTTGACCAGTCTATTCTCATTTTAGAAGACCATGCAGCACAGACCACGATAGCAAGGTAAAAATTCTGACCCGTTGTTTTATTTTGGTTGGTTGCACAGTCGGCCAGATGTTTAGGCTGAATATTATCATCAATTTAGTTTTTTTGCAATGTATTGTTATTGTTGTTCCTCTTGTTATTGTTATCATTGCAGAGACTTCCAGAGTAATGACTTAGTCTCAGGGAAGACTATATTTTTCGTGCATTAAAATGCTGTATATATTTGTAATTGGATTGGGGCTTAGAAAAGCCACCCCACAAAATGTTAAAATGCATTTGGAAGTAAGATGCTGTCCTGTGCTGTGGAAAAAGCTCCAGCAGGCTTCCACCCTCTTGCTTGTTTTCATTTGGAAGAATATATACCGTACATATACTTCCACCTTTAATACAGCATTGCAAAGTAAGAATGCAAATGCTACAGAAAATCTATGTCTTGCTTGCAGTTACTGTTTGGAAAGTGGCCTTAGAAGTTGGCTTGTCTGAAAGGCTGCCCTACAGTCCTCACAAATGGCAACAGAAGCTGGGAACGTAGTAAGGCTATGTGTCTGAAGGGCCCATTTTACTGCAGCACCATAGAGGATGTGAGGAGAGGGAAGCAACCATAAAATTGCTTGCAGGATATGATTGTTCCCATCATGCACTGCAACACCGAGGAGGTCTGCGATTTACTCCTCTTGAATTGCCTGTGGGTTGCTTGGGACCAAGCCAACGTGGCTGCTCTTCCTCCGTTTAGCAAACTTGTTTCTGCAAATCTTGCCACCATTTCACAGGTATCATTTGGTCTGGCTGAGTCAGGGAGTAGAGGGGTGCCTGAGAGCCAATCCTTTCAATCACCCTCTTGAATTCCCCAGCGTGTGCATCATGCGGCTTGCCGCTTTCCCCAGCCCAGCTCTTGGGGTGGTGCGAAAGCTGCAAGTAGCTCTGAGCTAGCAGAGCTGGGCAGCTCTGATAAGGCCTTATCAGAAGTCTGAACTGACGGTTTGGGCTCTGAGTGACAGGGCAGAGCTGGGAGGCAAAACATTCATTGGTTGCATGGGTGACTGCTGGCGAGCAGCTTCTCTGAAGCCTTCAGAGCAAGAAAAAAACAGTTGCAAACTGTAGTCTACTGTCAGGCGTCCTAGAAAAGGCCAAAGCTAGAGAGAGGCCAAAACTTGAACATTTCCTCAGGGCAAGTCAGTGATCGTACCTCATTTCAGTGAAAGAGATGGGAGCCAAAGTCAAGTTGCTAGTCCTCACATTTTAAATCAATCAAAAGTGAAGTGCTTTAGTTATTTTCATATCCCACCTTTCTCTTGGTTGGGCAATCATAGCATAATTATGGCAAACAGACATTGTACACATATATTATCAAAAGGAAGGGAGGTAGAACCACCTTTGGGAACAGGGAAGGAATAATTAAATTGTTAAGAGGGCACTTTGAGAAACGATTTCCCTGAGAAAAGGAAAGCATTAGGGGAAAAAAACTCAGAATAATCCCTTTTTGTATGTTATGAGATGGGCAAAGAGAAACTCTTGCAGCTTTCAAAGTTCTGTTATTCTACTCAACAATAATGAAGAGCATTTCTGCAATACTTACCATGCTTGTTTCTTGACTTGGCCTACCTCAAAGGGCTGAAAGAAAACTTGATCAATGTAGCCATGTTTTCCTACACAAAACTCTCTTTCTAACATATTTGTTTCTCCTCTTCTGCCTGCTACAGCCTCATTTTCCATTCCCATGATTGTCTTCTAAATAATGATAGCTTTCCTGAAAGATTCCTGACTTTTCTGTTTAAAGGGCATAAGCTACAAACCAATGATTGTAAAACTATGCCTACTGAGGATGGCACGTATTCCAAATATTTACAAGCATGAAGGATAGAAACTTGAAATTCTTGTTCTTTTTGAGAATGTATTGACGTTGTGGGACATCTCTGGTTTTTTGTATAATGATATTGTGCCAGTCCTGCGTTCATTCTTGAAAAGAGTGGAGGATGGAGCCAGAGTAGGTTTCTGATGCAAAATTCAGACGAGGTGTTCATGCAATTCTCTGAATATTGGCTTATCTCTGGAACCACACGAGAAGAGCATCACAAAGGCCAGTTCTGCTACCCCGTTTGCACAACAGGTACTCTAATCCTGACACTGAGACAGAATGTAACCAGGTCTACAATTATAATTTTAAGGCACTTAAAGGAGAGGCCCCATTATCCACAGCATTAGCAATTTCACCAATACCATGATGGATGAAATTATATCTTTTATTCAGTCAACAATTTGCACAAAAATGTTTCAGAAATTTTTTTGTGTTCACTTTTTGATTTACCCCCACAATAGCTACCCATTGAAATAGGCTGGAATGAGAGTGACCAATCAAAATTCATCCAGTATGTTTCCACGGCCAAGAATGGATTTAAAGTTAGGACTTCCTAGGCCTGCTACAGTACTCTAGTTACTATATCGTTATATAAGATTCAAGAGATCCATTGATGGCCACTTCTCTTTAAGACAGCAGTGGTCTTAAAATTGGAGCCACTTTAAGGTATCAGAAACTTGGAGATTGTGAGTTCTAGTCTAAGCATCAAGCTGGCTGGAGGACCTGGGGCCTAGACTCTTCCTCAACCTGGGTGCAGGCGATGGCAAACCACTTCTAAAATCTTGCCAAGAAACCTGCAAGGATTTGTCCAGACTAGCCCACCAAGGATGAGAGTCCAAAATCTTTTTCCTGGTGTGAGTGTCAATCAGGCAAAACTAAGAAAGAACATCAGATGGTTTCCTAATAATGGCAGCCACAGATTTATTGAAAGAACTTGTTACTGGAGGGTTAGTAAGAGGGACTGGCAGAAACTCAATCCTGCAGATGATGAGATGCTATTTTGGAAATTCAAAAGAAATCTTTGCGAAGGCTGTTTGGGGACAAAATATTTATTTCGTGGTTTCAATGTCCCTTCCCTATCTTCACCTCAACGCCCTACTCAATGCATGAAAATATCTGGAGATGGAGATTAATGGAGTCTTAGTTTTAAAAGAAAGTGATGGGGTAGGATTTTGGCACAGCTAGTCTAGAGCATTACAGAGCATGATATGAGGAAATCGGGCATATTTATCTCTCTCTCTCTATCCAGGCACTTTGTAGAAAAATGCCAGCTCTAGATGTTCCTGCCATCTCAGATGTGGTAGGAAGCTTCCAAAGAGAAGGCTTTTTCCATGGTGGCATATGGCGGGGGATTTCTCTCCTCCGAGTTTCTTAGCTAGCACAACATCATGGATGTCTATGGAGATTCTCACTCATCCAGGTCATGGTTATCCCAAAGGTGTTTTTTCCAAAAGGCAACTGGACTTTCTTAGGTTTTTTTTTTCCCCTTTGAAAACGTTTCACTTCTCATCCAAGAAGCTTCTTTAGTTTAAAGAAAGGCTGGAAAAGCTGCTTAAGAGGGCACATGTCACAGCCTTTCTCGTGTAAAAAGGCTATACAATCTGATGATACAGGTGAAGTAGCTAATCCACGAGGCTGATAAATGATCAAGTATATATAAATTTATTTCATTTGTGGGATACTGCCCTGGTTCAGGCATTTCTTCATTCAAATTTAGTACCGAGAAAATATATCTCCAGGTCCAACACTTCCCCACCATCCACAACCTCCCCAATTGCCTTGATTGACCTTTCAATTAAGGTTTCAATTAAGAAACCTTAAAAGTAAGAGCTTCGGTCAGAAGTGCTCCACAGTGAGTATCACGATCTCTTTATCGTCAGTCTCTGGAAATGGAGCCATATTGTTTTCTGATTGTATTTGGTTTGCTTTATCAATTTTAAAATTTTGCAGCGCTATCTTCTATACAGCCAGTGGCAGGATTGGAAAATAGCATTATGAGGGACAGAGTTATATTTGAGAATAGAGGGAATATTATGTTCCATATATTAGCCCTCTGAAAGAGAATAATTCAATATTAATAATACCTGTTAGTATTTGTAGAACACCCTTTCTCTTCCTTCTTAATCTAGTGGTTTTAACCTCCCCATAACAGATGTTGCTTAGGAGGAGAGCACCTATTTTAAATTTCCAGAGGATAGTTCAGATGATTCTGGAATATGGAATTTACTCCTTCAAGTAAAATCTGATGTACAGCAAATGCAGAGAGTCGTTTTTGAGATGGGGTACCTCTCTCTCCCACACTATCTGGGCAAAGTTGAAGTATTAAGTCCCCCAATTCTGAAACAAGAAATGCCAGAAGTAGAAGCAAAGCCCTTATGCAAAACTATGAAAATGTAAAGCAAAGAAAAATTCTCCAAAAATGCTGCCTCTTTGCCCTTTAGGCACCCCAAGCTCCACCCATAGGCTGGAAACAAGCAACTAATCCATGATGCAGCAGGATAGACGAGTAGAGATAAAGTTATCTTTAGAGGCCAGACAGTGTGGTGAAAAGCAGCATCAGCCAGGATAATAACAGAGTGTCAAGATCTTGGGGCCTGTCAGCTTACCCATCCTAGTCTATTCAACTCCACTCTCAGCAATAAAAAAGAATTTCCACCATGCCCATCCTAATCTGAAAGGGTTTTTCTGGTTCCTCACTCAGGCTGTAAACTCTCTTCTATGCGACTACTGTATGTGGATGCAACTGACATCACCAATGTTCTTTTAAGAGGAGAAAACACTCCTCCTCATGGTTGGGAAGAACTTCATGGTAGTGAAGATATGGTTGAGACACTTCAGGGCAGTTGCCATTTAATCTAGAAACAACTACTACACAAAGCACCAAGACTCAAATATCTAGCTAGCTGGAGTAAGTCCAGGAACACTCAGTCCCATATTTTATCTAATCAATGATTCATAGCTAAACTGAGGATTGGATCATTCCCCATATATAGAGTATTTTTGAAAAAGAATAGAATGCATGGATGGAACTCCTTTATTGTGGAGTTCTTTGTGGCAATGGAGACCTACTGGGAATCTGATCATTACTGTGATGGAGTGTAGTCAGGAGGTGGATTCCCAAGAGGGTGCATTGCAGAGGAATAAGAGTCAACTTAGCCCAGATATTATATGTGAAAGGGGGTGAAGATAGCTCCTCCCTAAGAGTTCACAGAATATATTGTAGATGCAGATAGCAGAGTGCTCAATCTGGCAAGATTTTGTCTATAGGTGTGAAATAATAAAGACCTCAATTTGGAAGATTCACTGTGTGTCTTTTTTGGTTTTGGGCCTGATTAGTTATTAAAGGTTCTGAGAGGCCCATAGAAAAACTTCTTATGAAGAGTACACATACTCCTCAGCTCACAACCACAACTGAGCCCCAAGTTTCTGTTTTTAAGCAAGGCAGATAAGTGAATTTTGCCCCATTTTACGACCTTTTTTGACACAGTTTTTAAGCAAATCACTGCAGTTGTTAAGAGAATCATGCCATCATTAAACGCATCTGGCTTCCCCCACTGACTTTGCTGGTTGGCAGCCAGCTGGGGAAGGTTACAAATCACGATCACATGATCCCCAGGACAGTGCAACTGTCAATAAATGTACGCCAGTTGCCAAGCGCCCGGATTTTGATCATGTGACCATGGGGATGCTGCAACGGTTTTAAATGTGAGAACCGGTCATAAGTCAATTTTTTTCAGTGTTGTTGTAACATCAAAAGATCACTAAACGAATGGTCATAAGTCAAGGACTATCTGTATGGTTCTTCTCAGATGTGTGCCATCACTGTAACTATGATGCTTACTTTGCTTTTCTTGCTTCCTTTTATTACTTTCATGTCCCATTCTACAGTCAGACACAAAGCCCAACCAAACTTGTACAGAATCAACATCTCTGACAAATTGTTACTTTCACTAAGGGAAATTTATTTGCAAACTGCCAAAAATGATTGCTTTCTTAGATCAAATCATTAAACCGCATCCTTTGTGTAACTGGCATTATTTGTTTTCTACCAAACATTTTGAAATAATGTTTGACGAAAGCTGGGTTTTCTCCCCCAATAAAATTAGCTTCCTTAAGCTTTTGCAAGTGCAGCTGATAAATGAACAGTGAAAAAAAATCTTTGGAAACAATCTTAAAATCCTGGCCTGGTATCAAAAATGTGGGAAACAAAAAAAAAAAAAAGGTTGAACAGATAAAGGTATCTGGTAAATGTCTATTTTTGCTAGATCTTGCAAAATAAACAAATAAAAATTAAACAAATGAAATAAATAAAAAGTAGGTTTTGCTGATTTTGCAAATATTTATTTATTCTCTATATTATTTAGAGTTCTTATGTAAGAACTGTTGCTTTGGGCTTTTAAAGAAATAAAATTCTAGTCAGTTTGAGGTCATAAGGCAGCCCAGTTGTTTCTTGGTAAAAATAACAATTCAATTTAAAAAAAAAAAATCATAGGGGAAAATGAAGACAAAAAGGTGTATTATGGGGGATAAGTTATTTCAATTGAGAGAGTGAAGGAGCGAAAACTACTCAAATGGCCCTGGTTTGAGTTTAACAACTGCATTTGCTTTTTAACTGAGGCTAACTTTATACACAAACACATAGCCCAGTTCCTTAAACAGAGCAATTGCCATGAGTAGCACGTAAACTAGCGGTTGTTTCTGCAGTCACAGAAAACTCAAAAATGAGTGATCATTTTACTTTTTTTTTTTTTTTTTTTTTGGTAGGTCAGGATTTCGCATCAGTGATTTTGAACCTTAGGGACTATTATTCTTTCTCTTTCTACAACAGCAACTATTTATTTATTCTCTTCCTTTTCCTCTTCCCCACAAAATCCTTGCTTCATCAAGCATCAGAGTAAATCTAGGGAGGTGATTTCTAAATCAGGCCAGGTCTTAAGCACACGATCTGGGGTAGCGGCAGCAATCCTCAAGGAGTATTCTTAATGGTCAAACAGATCCCAACAAGCCATTCTCATTGGATACCATGCTCCTCAGAGTTCACCCCAAAATCTGTAACCCAATGAAGAGCCTAGTAATTTAGCTGATTGCTTACCTGTTTAATTATCAACTGTTATAACAGCCATTGCATAAGAAGGGAGATTACAAAAAAGAAAAAGAGAGAGAAAGAGAGAGAGGGAGGGAGGGAGGGAGGGAGGGAGGGAAGAAGGAAGGAAGGAAGGAAGGAAGGAAGGAAGGAAGGAAGGAAGGAAGGAAGGAAGGAAGGAAGGAAGGAAGGAAGGAAGGCTTGAGACAAGGCCTAAAAACTCGAGGGGGGGGGGGAAATTGGTAGAGGCCGTACCTTGTTTCAGAGGAACAGAGACCTTGCTCCCCTGAATCCATCTGGGCCTTATTCTGTTATCCCAAGAGGAAAAATATGGCCAGGAGGAATATTAGGACAATCTATGTGTATGCATTGTGTATTTTTTTTCTTTTGTTTAAAGTTTGTATTTTAACTTTGTGAATAAAATAAAAATAAATCATTGGGGGGGGGGAGAATATCAGGAGAGAATTTTGTCACATGCCTCACTGGATGGGTTTTGTGAGTCTTTGGAGAGAACTCTTTCTCTTGGTCCTTCTATCAGAGTGGCAGCTCAGCATGCTCTCGGCTCCCTCTTTTGTCATCTGCTGCCACCAAATCACTCAACAAATGGGTTCCCTTGAAAATAAAAGGGGACAAATGCAGGCTGCACACAGCTCCTCCCCAGTCTCTTTGTGCAGCCCCAGAAACTGGGCCACCAAATATCTGCCAAAAACTACTGATTTCAGCCATCCAATAGGCCCATGTATGGTGGGAAAAAGTCAAAACATCTTCCTGCTTTTGAAAGTCCTGGATTCTTTTCACCCATCTGCGTGATATCACTGGGTTTCGGCCTCGCGGTTACCCCGCACATAGAGCCAATAAATGCACAGCTTTTGCACAAGAATTTAAAGTGCCTCGGGGTGAAGAACCAAACTTGCTTCACAAGATGGTATAAAAGCCAGACTTGAAAGGAGAACAAGAGCGGACTCTCTTCTTATACATCAATCACATATGGTGCCACCAGTTCCAGATGTACAACTGACCCTTCCAGGGGTTCTTCCACATGGAAATCACGGTGGTGCTGGAGCCCCTGACGAATTTTTTTGTTCCCACGCTGGGGAACTGGTAATTCCGAGTGGTGGGCTGGCAGAGGGGACGTGAAAAAATAGGGATGCAGAAGTGCCTAAGGAACAAAAGGAGAGAAGTCATCTGGCTGGCTCTGACCAAATCCCACAGGGCAAGGGTAGGCAACCTTGGCTCTTTTATGACTCGTGGACTTCAACTCCCAGAATTCCTGAGCCAGCATGGCTCAGCTTGGAAACCTCTCCCTTTCCCCTCAGCATGGCTGGCTCAGGAATTCTGGGAGTTGAAGTCCGCAAGTCATAAAAGAGCCAAGGTTGACTTCCGGTGGATCTGCGCGGGCGATGGCGGCTACTTTGTAGCCGTCCTCCTGGGTAAGTGTAATGAATCGCTATGAACAGCGGACATCAGCTGTTCAGCGGTTCAAAATCCCCCTCCCGGGCAAAGGGGGGGGGGAAGAGGGTTGTCTGAATAGTGGTAGAGCCACTTACGCACCCCCAATATTTTTTGGGGGTGTGTGTGAAAGGAGTGCTCCCACGGAGTTCAGACTGTCTCCGCTTCCCAGCTGCTTTTGTCCCTAGGGACAAAACAAGCCGTTGCAACCACCTCCACATTTAAAGAGATCTGGTGAGTTTTTCTTAGAAGCGGACAGAGTTGACTATAGGATTTAACTTTTGCTTTCTTTGACTTTATATGGATTTTGTTTAAAGATTTATTTTTACGTTTATATTCCCTCTTTTTATTTTTTACTTTTTGCTGAAAGGGAAAGTAAAATGGCGATCGTCAGACTTTCCGGCGTTTTTTCTATTTTTTTAAGCATTTTTGGTGTTTCTTTTTTTCCCTTTCCTTTTTTCTTTTTTGTTTTTTTTATGATAGGAATGGAGTGTTAGTATTATTATTTTTGTTTAATTTTTGTGTTTTATATTTTGTACTTTTTGGTACTTTTAAAAAATGGAATGGATTTTTTCTATTTAATTATTATTATTTTTTCTTCTCCTTTTTCTTTTTCTTTTTTGAACTCCTTTTTTTATTTTTATTTTATCATAACGATCCCCTCTTGAAGGATTTTTTTTTAATTTATGGAGCTAATTTCTTATTTTTCTTGCTTAATTCTTGCAATTTTTAAGAAGGAGTAAAGTTTTTTTTTAAGATGGCTCCAAAGCGTCCAGTAATCTCTACAGCTTCCAAGGTGACTTCTTCTTCGGTGTTATCATCAGGGCAACAATCTACATTAATAGTTTCACCTTCTTCCTTGCCACAGTCAACAATGGTGAAGGACTTGCAAGATATGATGGGAGATGTTATACTTCAAATTAGGGGAGAAATGAAAGAGATTTTAGATGAAAATAATAAGACTTTGAAGCAAGAGATAGTTTTGACTTTAAAAGGAGTTGCCTCTGTTCTTGAAAAGTTGAATTCTCGCGTAGAAGAGGTAGTAGAAAAATTGGAATTGATGGAGGAAAAATTTGAAAGTATGGACAAAGAGATGAAAAACTTTCAAGATGAGATTCTTATGCTTCAATATAAACAAATGGAATATGCCTTAAGAATCAGAGGTTTACATGAGTCTGTGCAAGGAGATTTGAGAGAGATGGTGGCAAAGGACTTTGCTGTGATTCTGAATAGAGAAGAAGAGGAAATACTTAGTGGAATTGATCAGACATTTAGAGTTAACTCTGTGGTGGCAGAGCAAAAGAATTTGCCAAGAGATGTGGTAATTTACTTTGGGAAAAGATCCCTGCGCAATGAAATTATACAAGCCTTTTATAAGAAGAGGTTTCAAATTGCTTCACAAGATGTTATAATTTTAAAGGAGATCCCACCCAAAATCTTAAGAAGAAGAAAGGAGTTTGCTTTTTTAGCAGACGAACTTAAAAAGAGACAAATTTTGTTTAGATGGGATGTTCCGACTGGAATGGTGGTGAGCTACCTGGGGATACGTTATAGTCTTAATACTGTTTTTAAAGCAAAAGATTTTTATACTTCGGTTCTGGGGGTATGCTCATCGTCACCTACTACGCTTAAAGCTTTGGAAGAAAAAAAGGCAGAATTGCAGTTTGAGGGGCCCCAACAAGTAGAGATGGAGGAGCAGAAGACAACCTGTGCAACATATAATTGTAAAGAAAAGGATCAACAGAAGAAGTTTAAGGAAGTTCCACAAGTATTGGTTTCTGAATCTGAGGGAGAAGTAGGATTTATAAATTCTTTGGAGCAACCTTTAATGCCAGAATTGCAGTCTGGGGAGTCTATATTAATTAAAAATGGGAGGCCTCAACAAGTAGAGATGGACGAGCAGAAGATAACCTATGCAATATATAACTGTAAAGAAAAGGATCAACAGAAGAAGCTCAAGGAAGTTCCACAAGAGATGAAAGACCAGAAGACAACTTGTCCAACATATAAACGTAAAGAAAAGGAGGTTGAGGAAGCTTCACAGGTATTGGTTCCTGAGACTTGTGTAACGTATAAATGTAAAGAAAAAGTAACATATAAACGTAAAGAGAAAGACCAACAGAAGAAGGAGGTTGAGGAAGCTTCACAGGTATTGGTTCCTGAGTTTGTGGGAGAACCAGGACTTACAAATTTTTTGAAGCGATCTTCAAGGGCAGATTTTAAAAGAGCCAAGGTTGCCTACCCCTGCCATAGGGTCTCCCACTATGGCCACGTGGAGAATCCTGGAAGCTCTCAGAAAGTCTCACCCAGTTTTTTTTGGGGGGGGAGGGAGTGAGGGAATTAGATTACAGTTCACAGATATCCTACGAGTTGAGCATTATGGGAAGTACAGGTAGTCCTTGAGTTACAATTGTAATGAAGCCTGCCCATCACAGTTGCATGGTTGTAAAGCGGGCCAGTCACACGACTGACCCAATTTTACAATCTATTTTTGCAGCAGTCACTAAACGAACACTGCAATTGTTAAGTAAGTCCATAGTTCGCTCTGGGCCAGAAGTAAATGCCAATTTTCAGCAAAACCCTTGTAAAAGTGCGGGACGCTGCAACGGGCCATAAATGCAACCCAACTGCTGAGCAACCCAAATCTGTTCATATAATCTCTGGGGGGTGGGAGGGGAGGGGTCTGAGAGTTGAATCTGAGTCATAAGTACCCTCTGAGTAGGTCCGTTGGAGCTTTGAACAGTTCCTAAGCGACTGGTCATAAATCAAGGACTACCCATGTCAGCTAAGGAAGGCTGCTAAAGCACAAAGGGAATACAAGTAGTCCTCAACCTACGGCCACAATTGAGCCCAAGATTTCTGTAGTTAATTGAGACACTTGTTAAGTGAATATTGCCCCATTTTACAACCTTTCTTGCCACAGTTGTTAAGCGAATCACTGCAGTTGGTAAGTTAGTATCCTGGTTGTTAAGTATTCTGGCTTCCCCATTGACCTTGCTCGTCAGAAGGTCTCAAAAAATGATCACATGACCCAGGGACACTGCAATGGTCGTAAGTATGAACCAGATGCCAAGCATCTGAATCTCCATCACACAATTGTGGGGGATGCTGCAAAGGTTGTCACTGTGAAAAACCGTCATAAGTCACTTTTTTCAATGCCGTTGTAACTTTGAACAGTCACTAAGTGAACTAAGTTGAGAACTACCTATATGGGCCACTCATGCTGGATGAACAAGGATGAACAAGGTTTGAACAAGCTTTTCTACCATGCAATCCCTCCAGAACTTCACATAAGGTGGGGAATGTAATCTCCCTCTTTAAATCTTCTCATGTTTTCCCAACTAATGCTTAGTATTTTTTCTTTTATTTATTTATTTAGGGTGGAATAGTTGCTTGTTGCCTTTGAATTAGTACCACAAAGTTGCTGATCACCTAGAAAAGCATCTTTAGGGAAATGGACATTCACAGCTGTGCAAAAGGTCCTAAGACAAACGTCCACTGCAAAATAGCAAAGCGGGTTGCAGCGCCCTCTTTTGGTGATAATAGAATGAACTTGGCTTTCTTCTCAACGAGCAAAATTTCTCAAGAAACTTCACAAGTGAACTGCTCCTGGGCTGATTTTCAATAAGCATCCAAAATAAGGATATCATCTTTGCCGCTCTTAAGGAATTCCTAGACCAGGGGTAGGCAACCTTGGCTCTTTTATGACTCGTGGATTTCAACTCCCAGAATTCCTGGAATTGACTCAGGAATTCTGGGAGTTGAAGTCCACGAGTCATAAAAGAGCCAAGGTTGCCTACCCCTGGCCTAGACATAGCCTAGATCAGGCTCAAGGGCTATGCAAAACTGCTTGTAAAACCATTGCTTATTTTCTCAGGCTTCCTTGTTACAAGCTAAGTCTGGGGCAGGGAGTGGAAGATGCCCACAGGCGGGAAAATCTAAAGGATTTCCATAGCAGGGGACAATCCAATCTCATGTCTGGACCGTACCCTTGCTTTCATTTGTAATTTTGTGGCTGACATTCCCCTCCAGAGGCAATTTTACTAAAGCGGGGTCACAATTTCAAATCTATCAAAATTGGGCACCCATAAAATTTCCGTGTCCACTACTTTCTCTGAAGTGTGAAAAATGTGTTTTGTTAAGAAAACAGCCTGGGTTACTGAACGTGTCATTGGGTTTAGAGTTAGACAGTCACAAGTGGCTCAAAGTAGTTAATCTACATGTAGTAGTTTCAAAGACTCGTACATACTGCTTTCTGACTTTAGACCACAACTGAGCCCCCCCCAAATTATGTTGCTAAGTGAGAAATGTGTTAAGTGAGCGCTGCCCCGTTTTACGATTTTTCTTGCCACATCTGTTAAGCGAATCTCTGCAGTTGTTACCTGAGTAACACGGCTGTGAAGTGAACTTGGTTTGCCCGTTGACTGTGCTTGTCAGAAGGTTGCAATCCCATAAAGCTCCTTGCCTTGCTCTTTGCAGGATGCTGCACCATACGGACGGCCTCACGGCTCCCCCCCTTACCTGGGCCGCTTGCATACGTTGCTTGGAAGGATAGACCAGGAACTCTTTCAGGAGCTGGACTGCTTGTGGAGAAGCATCAGGCACCACCTGCTCCAAAGGGATGGGCTGCTTCTCTTTGAAGGAGATTTTGTTGTAATCAGGCAACTCTGTGATCTCCTGTCCCAGCAAAAGAATAGCAAGGGTGGGACTTGGCTCTTGGTTTCTTCATTTTTAAAGGTCCTTGCTCCTCCCCTGGGCCCTAATCCCTGTGGGCAAGCTAATGGTTATGGGACTCACCGGCCAGGTCTTGTGATTAGGTGTGCCAAGCACCCGGAGGACACAACACAGCTGCTCAATGTCATTTTCTCCAGGGAAGAGGGGAGAATTGTTGAGAAGTTCCGCAAAGATGCAGCCAACTGCCCTGGTTAAAGAGAGAAAGGAGGTAGCTGCATCAAGGAATAAGGGGGAACATCCCTGTCATCCAAACATTCAATCCCTTCCCTGACCAGTTTCCTGCTTCTTATGCAGTGAAAAACCTTTGTTTCTTGATTTCAATATGGTTTTTCTCCATGCAAATCTTTTCAACATTCCATAGTGAAGACTTACATTTCTTTTGTGTAAGTTTGCATTCATTTTTGTTTTCCTCATTTGGGAAAAGCTTCCTTTTTCTGAAGGAATATTCCTTTTTTTCAAGTTTCCTTAATATTGTTGATTAATCGGGATGACGGTAATAATGCTTTTCCTGATCTAGGAAATATATTGTAGCTAAATGTTGATTATTGTGATTGCAGTTCTGCCATCTTCGGCTTGGTGTCTTGCCGGCATCCTGCCATCAAAAACTAGGGAGGAGGGCGCAAGTGGGGGGGGGACAATGGACAATAAACATGTATGGGGATATGATGGGAAATAGGGAAGGGGGATGACAGCTTGACGAAGACCAGGAAGCACAGAACCAGTATGTGCCAGTATTCAAGACCACAGACCCTGAAAATGGAATGTGGATTGGCCCAACATGTTGGGTGATTCTCAAAACACTTATGTGGCTCTCCATTGGCTGAAGACAAACTAATCGGGGGGGGGGGGAGAGTTAGGATGAGGGGGAAAATTTGTAACCTGTTATGTGGGAATCTTAGTTCTAGCCTGACTTTACTGCAACCAGCAACCTTTAGTAAACGAGTCTATCATTTCATCTAAATGGAGTCAAGGGTCTTTCTTTCCTAAGGGACCTGATTGGGGCAGGTCTGACATAGTGATTCTGAGTAATGTCCAAGCACTTTGGACAAATTAGATTATTTTTGAACTTTCCTTCATCATTTGCTTTATAATTTCCTCTCTTAAAAGTATAATTATGTTGGATTCCCTTGGCAATGTTCCACTTACTGTGCCTGTCAATTATACCTGATGGCACTGTGGTCAAGACTTACAGTCAGTTCAACAATTGCGTCTCTAGCACTCCATGTTTGCCCTCTTAAAACAGCTCAGAGATAGAACAATCCAGACTCATTAAATGAAAGAGCTCAAAGCTGCTCACCACAGGTCTACGCCTTCATCATACTTTCGAGCACCATATAGCAATTCGGGAGCCCGATACCACCTAATTGGGAAGAGTACACAAATCGTATTATACACAGCTTTGTTCATCTCACACAATGAAACTTAACTCCAGTCTCCACAATTTTCAAGTCTAGTGCCAATAAGGCTCCAGAGCCTTCTTAACATTTAGGACTGATTTCAAGGTTCTTGGAATAAGGTCTGAAGAAGGAAGCTAGGACCCCTCAGAATGTCATTGAACTATCTCGTCCAACCTCCATTACCACTGAACATGTTAGCTGTGGCTACTACAACTTGAAGATGCAAGCATCTTCCAGTTTGGTTCTCTCTTCCCTGGCTAAATGCTCAATCCATACCCCATGCTCATTGGTATTTACCTGGTGGCCACTTGATGACTATATAATCTCTCTCCATCACTGGTGAACACCCGGGCCAAGCCAAAATCTGCAATTTTCAGTTGCCCTGTGGAACTGATCAGCAAATTAGCTGGTTTCAGATCCTAAAAGAAATTGAAAACATCTTAGAAGCTAAGGGAGAATGGGTTGCACAGCATCAATGGGTCAAATAACAAGGTCTGATCTTCCTGGGAGAAGAAAACCATCCTACAGTCAAACTTGACCAAGCCTCACCCGGTGCATAATAGAGTTGGCATGGCAGAAAGCCACCCCCTTGAGCAGCATCATCATGTAGCCTTTCACTTGGGCTTCAGTAAGTGGCTGTTCAGAGTTGCGGATCACCTCGGATAAATCAGACAGCATATACTCAAATACCAGCACAAACCCTGTGCCATGAGGGAAAACATCTTTCAGTTGCACCACCTAAAAGAGAGAAGTTAAACAAGTTGGATTCAATATTGGGTGGCCTGTCCCACAACTGATATCATGAAAAGTTGCCTATCCATCCTCAATATAGTGAGTTAAGTGACTGAATGTGTGAAACAGCATGAGCCTTCTGAAGGTGTTTTACAAAGCCTTAAGTTATATTATGCCCCCCCCCCCCAAGCCTATCTTTATGCTGGACACATTTCACTGAACTTCTTTAAGCTGGTCAGTTAATAAGTAATGATTGCACTGTTATTATTTGGCAAAATTCTCTTTTTGCATTTTGCAATGAGTTGTGAGAGGAGGTTGCGGTGGAAACAGGCCAGTTAGTGCCGAAAACTGTTAACGATAACTTGAGGACGGGGGCTGGAATCTTACAAGGAGAACCAGAAACAGAAAAGGCAAAAGTACTGGCGAAAGATTAAAATGTTGCAGACGGTATAGCTACCAATATTGGTTATGATCACTTTATTGATGTCCCGTTTATTCCCCCATACAGGTAGTCCTCGACTTACAACTGTTCATTTAGTGACCATTCAAAAGTACAACGGTGCTAAAAAAAAGTGACTTATGACCACTGTTCAGACGAAGAGCAGCATCTCCAGGGTTGAGTGATCAAAATTCAGATGCTTGGCAACTGACTCTTATTTATGACAGTTGCAGGGTCCAGGGTCTCGTGATCCCCGTTTGCAACCTGATGAGCAAAGTCAATGGGGAAGCCAGATTCATTTAACAACTGTGTTACTAACTTAACAGCTGCAGTGATTGATTTAACAACTGTGGCCAGAAAAGTTGTAAGATGGGGCAAAACTCACTTAGCAATTGTCTTGCTTATCATCAGAAATTTGGGGGTCAATTGTAGTTGTAAGTCGAGGACCACCTCTTTCTTGTTTTGTTTTCAGGTTAGGAAAAAGCTCTGAACTATTTGCATAATTGTTAGATTATGGTCAGCATTCAAAACTACTTTCAGTCAAAGTGTCCAGCAACATGCAATTGGTCCCATTAAGAGGCCGTCTTCCAAACTTGCACGGGCTCTTCCTCCTGGCCTTGATTATGCTTGAGCAATGCTAAACAACTCACAACATACTCTTATTTGCACTGCACTGGGCTGGCATCGGGTTGCCTTGAAAAATGCACGGATATGTGACAGCAGATCAACTTCAGTTGTTTAAGATAGTTCCGTGGTGGCGAACCTGTGGCACGCGTGCCACAGGTGGCACACAGAGCCCTCTCTGTGGGCACGCGTGCCGTCGCCCCAGTCTCAGACCTTCAGCTGGGTTTTATAAAATCTTTTCGCTTTAGGCCTCTGCCGCCATGTGCAAAAAAAAAATAATCAATCAATCTATTTCAACTTCTTGGGGGGAAGATCTCGCAAAGTTGGGAATTGATTGAACTTTTTAATCCCACCCAGTCTGCCATTACCACCACAGCCACGCCCACCCAATGGGCCACACCCACCCAATGGGCCACGCCCACCCGGCACCCAACGATACATAAATGGGTTTTGGGTTGCAACTTGGGCATTCGGTCTCTAAAAGGTTCGCCATCACTGAGATAGTTCATTGCATTGCCATGGTTTAATTATGTTTTATTGAGTAAGCCATTCACCCCCATGACTAGCTCTCATACACCTTCAGGCATCTTTCCAGACCTAGGCCACCCAGCAATGTGCCTCCCCAATACAGTACACATATCTCTGGCGCATACCCACATAGCCTTCCTAACCAACACAGCACCTTTACCACACCCTTACCAACCATTCTTCGCCTGCACCCCTCATGTACCTCTTTGCTCCTTCCCTCATCTAGCAGCAGCCACTGGCCCTTGCCTGCTGGCCTTTGACTTGCAACTTCCAGCTGGCTTCCCCACTTTCTCCCTGCAAGATCCCCACAAGCACAGTAAATAGAGAAGCCAGCCAAAATTCGAGGGATGGAGAAAAGGAAAAATGTCAGAACTGAAGAATGGAAGGAAGATAATGACAGAGGAGGGAGGGAGGAAGAAAGGATAGAAAGAAGGAAGTATAGAAGGAAGGTGGATGGTAGGAAGGAAGGATTTCAAGGCTCCTTACCTACTTCCTACCAGTAAACTACATAGGGAAGCTGGCAGAAAATTGCTTCCATTCCCACTGCTTTTTTGCCCATCTGTGGTCATTCTGCTTCTCTGTTTAAGTAAGGAAATATCTCTGAAACAATAACCCAGTGGGGCATGGGTTATCCAATCATTAGATTAAAATACAGTAATTATTATAGGCCGTTTTTATCTGTTTCTGGAAGATCAAGCAAGTTGTTTCAGTGGAGGGCAAAGTTATGGCAAAGTTAAAATGGCTCAGTTTACCTGTAATCTTTATCTGAATTCCCAACACTCTCTCCCAGGTTATTATGCCTTAGTGCAGTGTTTCCCAAACTTGACAATTTTAAGGCATGAGGACTTCAACTCCCAGAATTCCACAGCCAGCGTTGAAGTCCTCATGCCTTAAAATTGTCAAGTTTGGGAAACACTGCCTTAGTGCAACACATAAACCAGGCTAATTTGTTCTGAAATATTAGTTTACTGGAGGCCTAGCCTGAGATGGAATTCGAAGAAGCTGGTCCGTGAATCGTCATTTCCACAAGCTACTCACGTGCTGGTTTTCCTCTATCTCCTGCAAAGCCTTGATCTCCCTCAGGGCTTGATTGGGGATCCCATCCTCCAGCTTGCGGAGAGCCACTTTCTTCAGGGCCACAGTCTCCCCAGTCTGCCAGGTAAGAGAGCAAAATAAAAATGGGAAGTGGATGTTCATCCTGAGAACTTGAGAGAAAAAACAACAACAAAAAAAAGCACAAACCTGGCTACATTGGCCTCAGAGATCATGAGGAATTCCACTTACTTCTATATTCTTCGCTTTGAAAACAATGCCGTGGGCTCCTTCTCCAATACGGCCAAGAATGCTGTATTGATCCATGCCGTCTTCTCATACCTGAAACGGAAATGACAGCTCACCTGTTCCAGACTGGGATTCCTGCACTCCTGTTGAACAATGTGTGATTTGTCTTTCCTTGTTTCTTTGTTAAAAGTATGTCTCAAAATGTCTATCTCAAGCTACATTAAATTGCTAACCTAACCCCCTCAAAAGTAAATACAACTTAAAGCAATTAAACTTGGCTTTAAAATCAATATAAAACTACAAACAGTTCAAAAGGCTCGATATAAAGAGCTATGTTTGAAGACAAACTTTCAAATAGCAAAAAAAGGCAGGCTCGCCTCTCATCTTGCAAGCTGCAGATTTCTATCGGTATGGACTTGCGCTATTATTATTTTTTTTTGAAACTGGATTAACTAATTTGGCTTCCAACAAAGGAAATGTAAGTCACTGAAGAAATGCAATTTACAAAAAAAACACCCACGTAATAGCCTTGATAGAATCAAAATTTCTAGATGGGGAAGCCATTTTGTTAAATCAATTTTAAAAACATTGTATGAGTTAAATCTTTGATACTTATATTTGAATTAATTCACTGAAATCAGTGGGCATATTTGGGTGTCCATCTCAACAAGTATATAAGTGGTATATAAGTCTCATAAATAAATAAATAAAATAAACAAGTGACTCTTGACAGCAAACAAAATGAATCAAAACGAATTTCCATTATAATACACACATTAAAATGCACACAGCAGTTGAGGATTAGGGTTATAAAGCCATGGGGGCTTGTTCCCCCAGCCACTAGGACAGCTGGGAGTTGAGTTCAACACATACAGTATATATATTTGGGGTGGGAGCATAATGTTATTTTAGTTGTGTATATAGTAGTTTTTTTTATGTAGCTGTTAGACAGCCAGGGTAATATTGTATAAGATGAGTAGCCTTATAAATCTTTTTAGTATTAAAAATAAATCAGAACTCTCTCTGCTCCAGCACATATACAGAATGGCAAGATTTTTTAAAAGTCAGAATTCCTACATCTTCTTGGTGGTGTAAAAGAGAATTTCAAGCAAACCAAAGTAAACTTCCAAAATGCCTCATAGGATATTAACTAGATTACCTTGTGGACGTCTCCAATGTTGATTTCAAGATTCTTTCACAAGATATTATAGTATTGAGGAAGCAAAGTCATGGTGTTCTTTTAATTCCTTTTCCAGAAAAATTAAACATGAAACAATCCAATTTTTAAATTTGTCAATACATTTAAATAAGAATACAGGTAGCCCTTGACTTACAACAGTTCATTTAGTGACTAAAGTTACAATACTGAAAACAGTGACTTATGACCATTTTTCACACTTATGACCACTGCAGCATCCCCATGGTCACAAAATCAAAATTCAAATGCTTGGCAACTGACTCATATTTATGACAGTTGCAGTGTCCCAAGGTCATGTGATCACTTTCGGCAACCTTTTGACAAGCAATGTCAACGGGGAAGCCAGATTCACTTAACAACCGTGTTACTAATTTAACAACTGCAGTGATTCACTTAACATGTGTGACAAGAATGGTCATAAAAGGAGGCAAAACTCACTTAACAAATGTCTTATTTACCAACAGAAATTGTTGGCTCAATTGTCATCTTAAGCTGAGGACTACCTGTACACTGACTACAAATCATATTATATGGGATGGGAGTTGTTCAACATCAATCAGAATATAACAAGCAATAATTAATTCCTCAGTAATATGTGATGATAAGCTTGTTTTTATTAAAAGATTCAAAACCAAAACAACTCTTTTTTAAGTGTGTTTATCCCCCCCCCCCATTATTTTCTTGATGAGAGAAGCAATTTTCTCAGTAACTGGGACCTGGCACATAATTTAGAAAGAGAAATATGCATAAAACCTATCCTAGATATATAAGGATCAATTTCCCCAGAAATCTGAGTTGAAACATTAGGAAAGTTGCTTTAAAGATGATAAATACCAAATTCCTTTCTACATGCTGAGATGATCCCATCATCCACCCCCACTTCTTACCGATTTTTAATCCAAAGCACGAACATAGGAATCAGTTTTAATCAGAAATTAAATCATCAATTTTAACATTTCTTCTGGATTAGACCAGGGCTTTTCAACCAGTGGTACAGGTACCACCTGTGGTACATTGGCACCTGGCAGGTGGTACGTGACCTTCCTAGAAAAGTGGTAGCGGGGGAGGGGAATGAGTTGAACCAGTGGCAGCACTACACAAGCCTGAGCGAGAGATGGCTGGAGCTGCAGGGGTGTCAGGGCTCAGCGGAAGCACCAGAATCAGTGCCGCTTTCCAGCTGATCGGCGCTTCTTTGGGGCTGTCAGCGGAAGCGCCAGGATCAGCGCCAGGCCCCAGCTGGAGCTCGGCGCTGATCCTGGCGTTTCTGCTGAGCCCAGAAGAAGCGCCGATCAGCTGGAATGTTGCAGCATCTCCAGGGTCTTGTGATTTACATTCAGATGCTTGGCAATTGATTCATATTTATGACAGTCACAGTGCCCAGGGTCATGTGAAGTGACCAAAACCTGCTGCAACCACCCAGCAGACGGGGGGAATAAAAACCAAACACCCCCCCCCCTGCTGCCAATCCTCAACAGAAATGCTCACAACAATGAAAACCTCGGACAGGAGGAAGAGTGCCACCGGATGGGCAGGCAGGTGTCTTGCTCGGCTGTGTCTTGGGGAGCACTTTTTTTAGTGCCATTGTAATTTCAAACAGTCACTAAGCGAACTGTTGTAAGTCGAGGATTATCTGTACTTTATCACTTTTTTCCTTTTTTTTTTTTTTTGGTCATCAAGTTTTTGACACCTTGCTAGATGACTGGTGGTACTCGGATATTGCCATATCCTAAAAGTGGTACAATGGGTGGAAAGGTTCAAAAGCCCTGGATTAGACCATGATCTACTGGTCCCTGAACAGATTGCAAACAGGATTTCACAGCAGCACTGTTCTCTCACTTCTTGACTGCCCCCAAACATATTCAGTGGTATACTACTGTTGAATATAGAGGTTCCTTGTTTTATAAAATATTTAACGTATTATTTTTTGCAAATATACCTAGGACCTTTTCAGAGGCATCAACGTTTAAGATATGGCCAGCGTAATACATTAAAGCAACCAACGGGATGGATTCTAACTCTATGGTGCTACTATCTATTGTACTGCCCATCTAACTGGGCAATTCCTCAAGGTCTAACTGCATGAAAGAAATACGAAGATCTATTCCTACATACTTTCTCGTTAAGGTGTACGCGCATACTTAATATGCGAAAGAGGTAAATTGCCTTTTTTCTCTCTCTTACTCTAAGGCACTAGTGTTGTCTGCGCCTTTCAAGAAAAGTATGGAATTTATTCTCCTAACCTCCACCAAGCTTTTAAAGATAATGACTCTATAACAAAACAAAACAAAATCGTCTTATGCAAAACCCTATCAACCCCTCCTTACCTCATCCAGGAAGATAGATACAGGACTCAGACATCTAGCCCGCTTTCTCCGATCGGCTCCCTGAAGAATCAGGAGGCTGCTCCGCCAAAAGAATCCCCGCTAATGGCTTCCCAGAATGCCGCGCGCTCCCGCAAGTGGGCATCCTTCGCGGCATTTCGACGAGAGCTCGGGTTCTCCGTTGCAGGACTTCTCAACATCAGCAAGATGCGTGGACTTCAGTTCCCACAATTCCATGCTGCCTAGGGATTTCTGGGAGTTGAAGGCTACGCTGCTCTATTGCGAGGAGTAGTCTAACTTCACATATGAGTCTTTTTTAAAGGTGTGAGCTCTTCTTTGGCCGCTGGATTTTTTTTCAACCTCTGCTTCAAAAAAAATCACCAAAGAAACCCGTATTTATTTACATATTTCGGGCAAACAAATCCTGCAAGTTACGGCAAAACCGAGGACTTTTCTACCATGCTAGGAACTCAGGCTGTCCTAGTGAAAAATTCATAAACTCTCCTTAGAAGGGAGGATCGCAAAGATGTTAGTGGCTTCATTTGGCTCATAATCCAACATTTATCTTTATATTTCATATTTCTAAACCGCCCATCTCCCGCATAGAGGAGCGCTGATGCAGAGAGCAAGGAGGCTTCGCACATCCTCTGCCTGCTATGTTGTTAAAAACAGGAGTGTAATTTACACATCTCCATGAATCACAGTGTTTTGCCAAAACTCCAAGGTTCGGGCGTATTGCTTAAGATTAATCAATTTTGCTTCCTCGGAATAAAGACAGTATACTATCTATCGTTACATATTTGAGGTAAATAAAGAATTGCTACGCCTTAAGGCTATAAACAGGGGTTCTCAACCTTGGCAACTTTAAGACTTGTGGACTTCAACTCCCAAAATTCCTCAGCCAGCTTTGCCGAACTGGGATCGATAAACTGCAATTTGCCCCACGTGATGAAGACACTGCCACAAAAAAGTGTGTTGAATAAGTATTTAGGTTGGTTGCGTACTTTCGCCACCTTTGCTTCAAGCGTGGAGGAATCTAATTAGAACCGGAAATGATGGCTGTATGACTGAGGATTTTCAATTTACCTCTTTGCCAGGCAGTGGTTTTGTTGCGGCTTATAGAGGAGGGACTGCGTTGCCCAGCAACACGACTCCAACGGTTCTTTAAGGTCCCCTTTCTGAAAGCAAAGTGCTGCGAAAGAAGTTTGTGCGTGAAAGCTTTTGAGTTCTCTAGAAGTTTGGATAGCATAGTAGACAAAACGAGCATTGGAGGAACAAGAATTTAAACATAATTAAAAAGGACTCATTCATTTGGGGACTTTTTTGTTTTTCCTCATTTAAACTGAACAAAAATCCTGGAAAACTTACATCCTTCCCTTATGTAACTGATCCTAATAAATATTACCAGCCTTTGGTGGATTTTGGAAATTTCCACTCATAAATAGGACTTTCCTTTCCTAACGATGGCCATTCAGATGTTGCTGAACTACAAGACTGGTGGCTATCTTCTTGCTGGCTGAAGTACTGGGAGCAAGATCAAGTGAGCAATGCCTTCCCGCCATCCATTGCCAGTAAAAGGGTAGATTGTAATTTTCATCATGGGGAAATTGCTTCTTTGTTCTTTTGCTTTGTTTGAAAACCAGGATCACCGGAAGTGATTCACTTGCCATCTGCTGCCATTTCAACTATGCAGAATTCCAGTTCTACAGATAGGTTTTACCCTCTTGGTTGCCTGAAGATCTCTTGCAGAAGGACAGTGTTGGAAGCCCCCTAGAGCAGAGGTTTTCAAGCTTTGTCAGGCCATGAAGAGATTACGGAATATTCCCAAACTGCATGCTTCTAACTCCATGGCTCTGAAAATCTGAATTCAGTCAAGATCAATAGATATTCCCTATGTTTTTGTCAAGCTCATGTGGAAATTATTTTAATTGCTTTCTTTATATTTGTCTAGTAAAGTCAACTCTTTTTCTCAGTCTGACCTAAGTTAGGAACTGACTACTGTAACTTTTTTTCTTCTCTTCTGCATTCTTGTCTGAACAATTAATAGTTTCTTTTGTTTTTAAGCATCGCCTCCTATGCAGACCTTTATCTATTCTGAGCTTTTATTTTCCTGACACCAATCTCTGTCTCTGGTGAAATTTCCTATTCTCAATGAAAAGGTAGTCTGGATGTGCCCAAGATAACAATATCCCTTTAATAATGTAATGCACTTAAAAAAAAAAGCCTTATTGATGGAAAAATGTAACTTAAATTACAGACAAACCAGTTTATCCCTAAGGGCTTTTTGAAATCCCAGTATTAGTCTACTACTGGTTGCTACACTAGCAAAGTTCTACTTTCAATACAGTATAAGATAGCCATCACAAAACCCCATTAAGCAACATAACAGCTAGAGTCTATTCATATCTGGCCTCATTAATATATTGTGTATTACACCCACACTTCGTCATTATTCTCACTTCAGTGATACTGGGTCAATAGCAAACCTAGATTTGTCTAAGAGGACATTTTATCACATTTCACTCCTCACACCCTCAATTTCAATTGACACCAGAGCTTACATTGACAATTACGATTTCGCATATTAGTGAAGATGGTATTTAACAGAGGAGGAATTTATCATCAATGCAGAATGAGGTTGAGGAAGAGAAAGGTGGAAAGCATAACTGTATTTCTAAGTCCAGTTAGAGACAGAGGGATTCAGATACATTTTTCTACGTGAGACAAAGGACAAATCAGCGTTCCTACATTTTGCCACCTGCTAGTTGAATCTTACTCAGTACTGACAATAGCACAAGCAGACATGTACCTCGTCTGTCAACCTCATCTCAGTAACTGTCTGTGGCTAATGATGGAATTGGGGTCCTGGGAAAAAGAAAACAATAGGATTTACTAGGACCCATCACTCTCCACCATTAATCTCTGCAATCTCAATCATACATATGGTAATTGTCTTTACAATGGGTAACTAAGACTGAAAAGGAATAAGAATATGCTAGTACCGGTCATGTAGTCCCAGGGTGGGGAAATTAAGATAAAGGCACTGAAATATTGGAAATTTCAGCTATAGATTAATATCTACCACAGTATAACCACCCCTTATTCCTGTGCAATTTTCATACAGAACATACTCTTTTGCAAATCAAAGATACATCAGAATACACTTTGAAAATAAAACATAGGCCCTCATTGTTTTATAAGAACATCAATAAAATATGTGTCACCAATCTTAGGACAGCAAAATAGGCATGATCTTTCTTTTTCTTTCTTTCTTTCTTTCTTTCTTTCTTTTTCCTTCCTTCCTTCCTTCCTTCCTTCCTTCCTTCCTTCCTTCCTTCCTTGTCAAAGAGTTACAGAAATCTCTAGCTGCATCTTCTGTGGCTCCAACTTTTTTAACACTTCATCCCAAAGTGAGAAGCAGTGAAGGCAAAGAAAGAGAGACCATCAAAGCTAGCTCATATCCCAGCAAGAGTGGCATCAGAAACAAAACCTGGAGGAGGCAGCCTTGTGTAGGTGTAGCAGGAGGGCTCTTTGGACAGAAAACATAAAGGAGAAAAACACAAAGAGGCCGTCTGGAGCTCTCCTACACAGACACATGTGTATACATAAATCAGTCAAAGCAAAGCTGAAGAACAGGCAGACTCAAAATCTTGCACAGATACTGAGACATCTGCTGGGTTGCAGAAGGAAGGCTGGCAGCCAGAACTTTTGGTTCTGGCACCAAATCTGGCTGAGAGAGCAGTGAATTACTAGATTGTAAGGAGGTTATGATCAGGGCAGATCAAAGCTGCCAGAACAGTGACTTTGTTTCCAGAACTCTGAGCACTCGGAACATTTTTCTCCATTTTTCAAACAACAACAACAACAGAATTAATCCGAACAAAGAGGAGGATGCTTCCAGGCTCCATAGACCCTGCTGCCATGACTGGGACAGAGAGGTGAGAACACTTCAGCACAAAGGACAGGATAACAGGTAAGGAATAAGAATGGGGCCTGGGTGACTATTAAAGTTTGTTTAGGAAATTTTGTTGTAGGTAATGATTTATGGGAGATGTGGCAACCAAATAATAAACTATCAATATTTTATGGAATGAAATAGTCATTTTAAAAATGATTCAAATTCTCAAGCAAAATTAAAAATCCATTAATTGTTGTTCCTGACATAAACGGTAAAAGAATCCCACTTTAACTAAGTCTATAACATTTATCACTTACCTACTGTATTACATAATATGAAATTGCTCATTCTGTATTTCTGCCCACTTTTGCATTTCAACCCATCTAACATGGGGGGGGGGTCTTCATAAGAAGCACTGTGTGCAGAGTATTTTGATGGACTGAAAAATTCAGACTGAATGTTTGATATTCTCAGTGCAGTGGGACAAAGCTCCCAAATTAGTAGTTCCTAACAGCGGGAGAAACACATTTTGAACTCTTTGGTATGAAATGTGTCACTGGCACATTTTAATCCCCACAAGAGTAACAAATCCAGGACTTTGATTTCATTTGCAAAGATGTTCAAGGAGCCCTTCCTTTAAAAGTACTGCATTTCCATTTGACTAGATGTTGCTTATGGTAACACTTGAAGTCACTAACCAATCAATACTTCTTTTTCTATTTTGGTATTAATACAACACATTATTTATATAGTCTCTTTTTTTAGCCTTTACTGTATAGCACACAGATGGGAGCATAGAAGAGCTCAAAAAACTTAACAGAAGTTTATGAGAGCTAGATTACGAGAGCGGTAATTCTTGTTGTGTTAAACACTCGTCTCTGGGAGCAGATATTTTCTCTCTACAGGCAGGTTTGAGAATTTGCTAATTAACATACTGATTTAAATCAAACTGTGAAAGAGGCTGTTCCCCCTCCCTTCTCAGTTTTTCCCTCGAAGAAAAGCAATGTTCCTGTGACCTCCCAGTTCGATTCTTGCTCCAACAAGTATACAAGAAAGCTCCATTGCAATAAAAGCAGCATAATGTTATTCTTATTTACAGAGACTGTTATTTAGCCACCATTTAGTAGAAAACTTTAAATATTTCTCTTAATATCCTTTTACACAGCATGTTTTTATGGGTTAGATTTAATACTACATCATTTGTAGTTCTAAGGGACCAAGTATAATCCTTTGTCGGTAAATTTAAATTTAACACACAATTAGTCTGTTGCAGAAGCAACTTGCCTGTGAAGGCTCCTAGATTGGGGCTGAAAGGCGAAAGCGGAAGCAGTATGCTCCATCCCATATTTGGGGTAGACAGGTTGCCCTGATAGACCGGTCTCACCAGAAAACACTTGACCAAGTATAACAAGTATAATCTTTATATATATGATCAAGTATAACAAGTATAATCTTTACAAGTTATACTTGACCAAGTATAACAAGTATAATCATCCTTTCCTACTAGACAGCTTTTGAATAGAGTTACTTTGGAGGAATCAACTGACTTAATGGCCATAATGCACCATAAACCAGTCTTGGCATCTTAATCTAACAGTGCTTTTCATAGTTAAGCTGTTTTGACTTGATCAAATGTGAAGACGTGCTTTCTATAAGCAGCCTTCTCTTGTGTAATAACCAAAAATTACTTGGGCTGGGTCTAGTAAAGATGGAATTATTAGACTGGAATTTATATCTCTAGCTTAGATACTATTATATACATGCTGAGTTTTTCCAGGATTCAATTTCATTGGGTGATCTCTGGTTCTAGTATTTTGGGAAGGGGAAAATTGTTTCTCCTTTTTCACTTTGCCATGCATAGTTTTCTACACTTCTGTCATGTTCCCTCTCATTTGCCTTCTTTCTAGATTAAAAACCCCCCAAACATTCTAGCCTTTCCTCATAATGGCTCCAGGCCCTTGATCATCTTAATTGCCCTCCTCTGAACCTTCTCCAGCTCCAATGTATACTTTCTGAAGTGTGACAACAAAAAATGCACACATTGTTCCAGATTGTCACACAAATTATTTCTATAAGGACATTATATCTTATTATTCCTTATGTGCTATTGCTTTTTTTTTTTTTCAGAAGCACAGAGTGTTGACACATTCATTGAACTATTTACCACTAACTCAAGATCTCTTTCGCTATCAGTCAATGCTAGCTCTGATCCCATTAGCGTGTACAAATTTTGTTGTGTTCTAGATGGGGCTGAACTTTCTTTAACATCTCTTATTCCCTCAAGGTGCTTCCTCAACAGCACTTACTTCTTCTGGAAGGCCAAGAGTGTGGGGTGAACCTCACTCCTGGCAGGAAAATAGGGCGTGAGCCAGCAGCAAACATGTTGCTTTTTCAATAGCACCGGTCATCTAGCAGCTGGGAAAATGGGTTTTTTACATTATGAGTAATCATGCGTTTAGATCAGGCCTCTAAGTTTGCAGTTAGTTATGGAAACTAATTTGAAGTAACATTAAGGAACAGGACAATTTCCTTCCCCCATAGGATGCCTGCTGAATAACTGGGAATTAATCATGTAGACCAGAAGACAATTCTACATAAACTGGAGATCTACCTCTCTTAATAATTCCAAGTTACTATACTACCAGATATTACTTTTCCAACAGAAAATCCCCAAAGCACAGGATCTATAGATATGCTGAAAAATGAGAAGTCTTCTTCCTCAGTCATGCCACAGAATGAATGAATGCATTAACACTGCCCCATAGAGCATCACAAAACCATTTGCATCCAAACTCTTCACTAACAAATCATACCGGTAGTCCTCGCCTTACAATTTAGTGACTTAGTTTGAAGTTACAACTGCACTGAAAAGTGAGTTATGAGCATTTTTCACACTTACGATCATTGCAGCATTCCCTCATGGTCACATGATTTATATTTGGATGCTTTGACTGACTCACAATTGTGACAGTTGCAGTGTCCTGGGGTCATGTGATCACCTTTTGCACTCTTCTGACAAGCAGTCAATGGGGAAAAGATTCACTTAACAACCATTACTAATTTAACAAGAAAAGTCGTAAAACTCACTTAATAAATTTCTCTTAGCAACATAAATTTTGGGCTCAGCTGTGATTGTTAGTTGTACTACTGTACTTTTATTTGTAAAAATCAACACACAAACGTATCTGTTTCTCTTGTTGAAAATAAATATTTGCTCAACTGTTGTAGTGAAGTTGTTTTGGTTTTCTGAATAGATTCTGCCCTCTTTCATTGAAGCTCAACAAACAACAAACTCCTTTAAAACAAGTGTTGCTGCTGATTGAAACTGCTCAAGCGCTGACTCAAAAATAAGGTACTGATTCAGGTCAGTAAGGTTAGTCCAAAGTAATAAATATTTTGTTTGAACTTGCAGCATAAAAAGCAGAGTCAGATAGCCTTCAAGCAATTCCTGATCAGTACTGGGCTGAAAATTGTATGTTAGCATAATCTTTCAAAATGTGAAAGTCAAGCAATGTAAAAGCTAAGGTTAAATAAGAAGTACCAGGTAAAATAGGATTCCATTTTCCTTTCACCTTCTCTCTATGCAATCTCATCCCTTCTTTTGCAGATCTATCATGTGTCAACCCTTTCCAGCATTCCTAATGGTTTCCATCATTCTTATGCGGCCAGGATCTTTTGCTCAAGAGTTTCCCATTCAGAGTCAACATCATGATCAATATTGGTACCAGACAGCAATAGATCAAATCCCAATGATCCGTGAGTTCCTTCTGTTCTGGGAAAGAGGAAGGTTGAGTATACAAGCCTTCATTTTGGAAAACTTTTGAGTTTATTGTCTTTTCCAAAGTTATCTGATCGGATAATAGTTTGGGCATTTCTTGTTAACTTCACTGTTTGAGCACCTCCATTTGTTTTTACACCCAAATAGAATTACTATATACTTCAGGTCTTAAAATGTGAAGGGGAGAGTCTTCCAGATAGCATAGTGCTCCCGAAGTATCACAGGACAAAGCAACTCCACCCAAGTGATACCAAATTTGGTAATGCAAATAACAACTTCAAGTAACTATCATCCAGATCCATTCCAATTTGCTTGCAGTTGTCACATCACAAGAGGTAAAGTAGTGGATATGTGTGCATCTGTAGAAGCTGACACCAGATTAGAACCTTTACTCTTCTATGTTAGGAAAAAAAAAAGGTGCAGCAGACAAAAATCCTCATTGCTGCTTCCTCCTCCAATCTTTCCTCTTAACTGCTCCCCACCGCAGATGGGGGCACCTGCAAAGTGATTGCTATCAAACGCTGCTGCAACCGCAACCATATTGAGGAACGGTCCCAAACTATCCAGTGCTCCTGTCTCCAAGGCAAAGTGGCTGGGACAACCCGTGGCAAACCTTCTTGTGTGGATAGTAAGTACTAGGAGCCAAGATCTTTCTTCCTCCTACCTAACCCAAAGTGGCAGGAAAACCCAAGTGGATATAAGGAGGACCAAGAATCTAAACAATAAAAATCCTGGGAAGAGAGTAAAACATAAAGAAGAAATCCCCCCCCCACCAAACATGCATAAACAGATATTGATGAGGATGAGGTTTGCTTGGCAAGTAGATTGAAGATGATTAAAGGGCTTGATAGTTGTAGCTTATTAGATGACTGTATGCATGTTCTATATTGGTTCTTTCAGGCCAGATATAAGTAGGGGTTATGGTAGTTTTAAAGTCCTTGGATGGCATTAGTAATTTATTATGCTAAAACTTCCATGATAAAGCAGGATATTTGATTCAAGCAGGGCAGAGACAAGTTAGTTTCCGTTGCTGCAGCGTGGAATTCAAGAAGTTCCATCTGTCCCTGGTCTATAACCTCTTGATGCCAAGAGGCCCAGAGAGACTAGAGGCACTCCATCTTGACCACAAACCTACTGAATTGCCATCTCCATGCTGGGCAAGCTACCAACATCAATAAAGACCATGGGCTTTAAGGAGGGATGGTAACAAGCGTCTCCCTCTATTCTACAGCCTCCATTGTGACAGGGAAGTGGTGGTGTGATATGCAGCCCTGCCAGGCTGAAGAGGAGTGCAAAGCATTGCCTGACAACTCAGGCTGGATGTGCTCATTAGGAAACCGTGTTAAAACCACCAAGGTAAGGTCTCCCACAACCCTGGCAAAAGGCATGTCTACACAGGATGCCACAACTCTTCCAGTAACTCAAACGTGTATCAAGTATTGTAAAGCTTTTCTTTCTTTCCTTTCCTTCCTTCTTTCTTTTTCTTTCTTTTTCTTTTTCTTTCTTTCTTTCTCTCTCTCTCTCTCTCTCTTTCTTTCTCTTTCTTTCTTTCTTTCTTTCTTTCAAACCACACTGTACAAGTAGTGGAGATTTAATTTCTATTTAACAATTTATCCTGGCTTCTTTTTCAGATCCATTCCAGGAAATAAAGTCTGTTATAATGAAAAGCCCACCTCTGAAAAGGCCATGGCAGATTTCAAATACTGTAATTATCATCAACTTCATGATGAATGCTAGTGGGTATGCAAAACCTTTTGTCCACCGGAGAAGACAAAACATCGTAATGCTGGCTGCACTGTGACGTAGGGAAACAGAAGGGAAACAGAATGAAAGATTTTTCCTTAATAGAAGGAAGATTTAGCCCAATTTTTTCTTAGAAACAGTGGAGCAAGTTGGTTCAAATGTTTCTAAAGCTTCTTGTGCGTGACTGCTGGGACATTTCCTATATAACTATCATTTTTGTCAAACGGATAATTAAATTCTACAAAACAGATGGAAAAAAGGCAGTTTTGTATTTACATCTGTAACACGATACAGTGTCTTTCTTTACAATGATATTGAAATACAAATTGCCACACCATTAGAAGATCTTCAAGCTGGAGAAAATGGACTACTAGGTCTGTAAAACTTTAATCCTATCTTAATAGGCCTTTTGAATTCTGAATTGAAGTTCTTAGCCCACAAAGGCCAAGCGCATAAAACTGGAACTAAAATTATATTGCCAGGTTAGAGGTGGCTTGGCAGGGGCAGGAGGAGCAATGTCAATTTAGATCCCCAAAGGGCTTTGGATTGTTTGGTATCTATAACCAGAGCACTATTTCAATATCCTAGATGGCTTTTTAGGCAACTAAGAGACTGAAGCACACTCTCTGTTCTGCCAGTCTGTCCTGGTTAGTTCTTCTGAAGATGGAACTGACACAACATTTTATTGGAATAAAACTTAATTCCAAGGGAGATCTACCCAGCCTTTTAAGGTGAGTCAAGGCCACAAACCCTGTTTTGATCCATCGTCATTCCCTCTTCGTTGTCTTTTTTTTTTAAACCTAAGCAACCAGCAACAACAGTACTATTAAATGAAAGAAAGGGGTGAGGATTCAATGTAGCAGCATCTCTTATTCTGGCTCAACAGCACACGGGGATCTGACCTACAATGAAGAAACTTATCACAGAATATCATCACTGCTAGAGTGGCAGTTTCCCCTTGCTACAATAACTCTTTCATCCAAGGTCTGGGAAAACACATTTCTTGGTTTACAGGTTTTTAAAAGGTAACTTAAGAGGCGTTCCCATCAAACAGAGAAAATTGGAGGAGTCCTTCCGTCAGAAAGTCAGGAAAACAGCCCTTTAAAATTTGCCATAGTCAATTAATTGTAATTGCACACCCCAGTTCTTCAGGCAAATATCATCCTAGGATTCCAAGTTCTCCTGATAAGCGTTGGTTCCGTCATCGTATGGAATTAATCCTGGGGCACCTCACTGCATCACTGCAAGCTTCTTAATCCCTCACAGAGGTAGATATTATACAGCTCAAACCCCCAACCATGTTTTCCTTGCCCCTCCCCTCCGCCAAACCTAAAAGTTAACTCTAAGAACCAAATCCCCTCCATGCTTTGCTTGCACTCTTGGGTGAATGTCTTATTTTCAAGGGGAAAAAATCTTGCCCGATTCTAAAAATAGAAGTGATCCAGGCCCCACACTGGCTCACTGATAATGTCCATAGCCTGTAAATCCTGTAGGCGGTGAACCATCTTTGGGAGGCAGTTGACTAGGATCTTCTCCAAAGGGATTAGCTAAGAAGAAAAGAAGGACCCATTAGTGATACATGAAAATATAGGACTACTATTATTCCTGATAAGGAGCAGCAGAGGAAAACTTTCTGAAGCAGAAGTAATAACGGTGAAGCCAGGAGGAAAGAAGGTGGGCGTTTAAGGGAGAAGTGATTCATTAAATTACGTGAAAAATCTCAACTTTGACTATTAGAAAATTCAAAAGAGGTTGAAATGTCAATCTGTAAATAAAGAAGAGGAGGGTGCCAGACAGCATGGCAAGAAGTGTAACTCTGGAATACATTTATAGAACCATTCGCAAAACGCCGTTGTCGTAACAAATTGTGTTAAAATACAGGAGATGGAGGGGACAGGCATGTGGCATGCTTCCTGCCCATAGAGGCACCAAGATCTGAGATAAAAATAGGGAGAGATGTGGAAATCAGGAAGAGACACTTCTTGCACTTTGGGTAACTGCAAAGAAACATTATCTTTTGAAGGGGGGGGGGACTAGAAAAACCAAAACCTCTTTCACCACAAAGTGGAACTGACTTCACCCCACTTCCCCCAGCTTCTAGCACCAACTGGTTCATAAGATTCTCACTAAATTGCATCATTACAAGGTGATAGACAAGGGCAGGTGCATTAATATCTGGCTCTTTGGATTTTGAACTACATCTCTGTCGCTATTGATAATGCCGGCTGAGGCTGCTGGGAATTTATTTTTCAAATTTATACAGCCACCCATTTCATTAATCAAGTGACTCTGGGAGGCATACAACAAAGTGTTTGGAGGGCCGCAGTCCTCTATGCATAAGAAGTAATATGAAAAAGTATGAAAAGAAGTAGTATGAAAGATATACTCCAAATATATTTCCCAGGATGTAATGGAGATTTCTAGCCCTCCAAATATTATTACATTTCAATTCCAGCATTCCTGGAATCAAGGCAAACAATGAAAAGGAACTAGGATTTTTCTTGCAACTACATTTGGAGGTCCACAGCTCCCACAAATCCAAATCCCCCTTCCTTCTGGGACCTTTTAGTCTCAGAATTATAACTTACGGTTTTGGAACTGCTGGGCTGTGTATCTTGTCAACAAAATCCCCACACCTTCTATCAGGGCAAGCAAGATGCCTCCCATCATAGCAGAGCCCACCATGGCCAATGGCCCACCTAAATGAAAAAGCAGTCAGTAAGCCCCAAGTAAGCAATCAGAAAGGGATGACAAATCGGTGATGCGTATTTGGCAGAGCTAAGAAACATCACTTACTGCGTGATGCTAACACAGCCCCAGTGAGTGCCCCACTGGTAATGGAATTCCAAGGATCTTCTTTACCTCGCATCTTCACTAGACCACAGTCAATGGTAGAAAAAAGCCCACCCCACACTGCAAAACTCCCTGGGAAGAGAAAGAGAAAAAAGCCTTTGGAATAATCAGTTGGATATTGAATTGTTCATAACTTGTATTGAAAAAAACCATTGTCTGGTACTAAGCAATTTTAATATAAATACTTGTTTGATGCACACGGAAACTGGATCAAAATACACCAGAATCTTAAAAGTTATTGCCAAAGATACTCAGTTTCTCAAAAATGGGCAGCAATTAAGATTCTACTTTCTGAGCAACTGATTTCCAAATTTATTACCTGAATCTTGAACGACAGAAACAACTCTTTGCCTTTTTTAAGCATCTGCAATCTCAAATGTGTCAACTTCTTGAAAACAGAACAGTATGAATAAACAACTTAAGTAGGAAAGCATAAAAAACTGAAATGACTTAGATTGATTTTTTATTCTGTTTACATTGGTATTTTTAAACATGTGATCTCATTCTACAAACTGCTGCACAGGTATAGGATTCATGATAGCTTACTATAAATAAATAGATCTCATAGCAGATCACTGCAGGTAATGGTCTCATAGATGCAAGTAATCAAGTCATGTGATTGCAATTTGGGTGCTTGGCAACCAGCTCATGTTTATGACATTACAGTATCCTGCAGTCACACGATCACTTAACAACCCAGTAATTCACGAATAACCACCATAAACATTGTTGCAAACTAGGCTCTAACTTAACTTACAACCACAACAACGTAATGACAGAAATTCCAGTCCTAATTGTGGTAGTTAGTGGAGGACTACCTGTAATATGAACTTAGAAATTACTATTACGGGTAATCCTCAAGGTAAAATGGAAATTGGGACCAAGATTACTATTGCTAAATGATGTGGTTGTAAAGCAGATGTCAAGTGACCACATCACTTAGCAATGGCAATCCAGGCCAATCTCAGTTGTCATCATAGCCCCAAGACACATGGGTCATTAAGTCAGAAGTTAAGGGAGTCCCAGGTAAGGAATGTGGGCTGGTACAGTGGGGCAGGGTGCCTTGGGAGGCTTGGCACAGGCAATGGATGAATTGGGAGGGTGTGTGTGTTGTGGTGTAGCACAAACTTATAAAGGCTAGGGAAAAAGGGTGTAAGGCAGTGGTGGAGAACCTTTGGCATGCGTGCCAGAGGTGGCACTCAGAGCCATCTCTGTGGATACGCATGCCACCACTGCCAGCAGCTTGTGCAGGTCCATTAGACTGCTGCCACTGCCCAGAGTGGCAGCCCCACTAGGCACCAAGCAGGTGAAGCGGCCAGCTAGCAAGCTCGAGTAGAGGTGGTAGACCACGCCACACCCAGCAAGCCAAAGGCCACCCTGAGCAGGGAAAGCCAGATCCCCATCGGCGCCATCCCCCCCCCCAGTCCCAGCTAGGATTGTGTGCCTTCCCCTATCTATGCTGGGCCTCCTGCCCACCGTCCCACCCACCAGAGACCCCATGGATTTCCCCCAACCCTGCCCAGCCCCCACAGGCTTCCACCTCATAAGCAACATCGAGGTGGCCATGCCCACCCCAGCCACGCCCATCCAGTTTGCCGCGACAACCGCAGCCATGCCCACCCAGTGGGCCACACCCCATGCCTACCCCCGAGGGCACCACAATCCTAATGCGGCCCTGGCACTTTGCAATAAATAAGTGGGTTTTGGGTTGCGGTTTGGGCACTCAGTCTCTAAAAGGTTCGCCATCACTGGTGTAAGGTATGTGCATGTGTGTGAGCACGGGGAGGGCGGGGAAGGAGAGTGATAGCAAGTGCAAGTGAACAGAGGGTATGGTGGTTGGGGAGGGGAGGGACTTATTTGAGCAACTTGTGACCTTCCCTGCCAGTTTTCCCATATAGGAAGCTGGCAGAGAAGGTTGGCAACAGTGGTCCCATGACTGCAGGATGCTGCAACCTGTCATAAAGTGTGAAATGGTTGCCAAGCATATGAATTTTGTTCATGTGACCATTCAAGTATATTCCTTTGTCCAGTTGCCATCGTAATTTCAAACAGTTGCAGAATGAATAATCCTAACTCGAGGTCTACCTTTACTTGCTTTACTCAAATTATTTATAGGACTGCAGTGTTCAAGAAGAGAAAGACCAACTTTCCCCGATCTGATGCCTATCAGATATGCTGGATGTCCAGGTCCAATGTTATCAAGCTAGTATGGCTGTGCTAGAAATTCTACAAACTGGTCTAACACATCTGAAGGCCACCAAGCTGGAGAAGATTTCAGCAAGTAAATATTTTTCAATTAATTCCCACTTTCCACTGCTTGGAGTGTTTATTTTTAAAAATACATACCAGGATTGGGAAAGAACTCCAACTAAGCACTCCATTCTCTTCAGAATACTATATAAGTTGTATAGGAGTTCAAACACATTCTGGGCTAAGTGAAGCCACCCATTCTCTGCCTGGTATCCTCTCTTTTCTCCGACTTTTGCCACCTTCTTCTTCTCTTTCTCCCTCATCATAGGCTGGGCAGACAAATCTTACATGATGGCTTGCTGAGACATATGAAACCAGGGTAATGGCTGAAGGACACCCCCCCCCCTCCCGTTGGATTAACTGATTCCAAAATGCAAGGTCCATGCCGGTGATGTTTAATTTCTCTTCATCTGAGCCATCAAAAAATACTTTGTCTGAAAGAGGTGATCCATGTCTAGAAGACTATGAAGTTCTTTACGCTGCAGAAGATTCACTTACAGAAATGAATAAACCATTTCTCTCAAATTCTAAGATCAGCTTGTTATGAAGCACCAGAACATTCTGAAAATAGACTACACAATTTTGCATATCTCTATCCCAAATTTATATTCTCCCCTTCCTCCCCCCCCCCGAGACTTAAATCTTTATAACAAAAAAGTGATATACTGTAGGTCAAGCTGAAACAGACTGATCCAATGTCACTCCTCTGCTTCAACTGTGTCAGAACGTTTCTGGTTCTCCCTGATCTTTATTCAAAACATTAGCCACTAACCAGACCCTCCTTGATAACGAACTACTACTACTGTAATCTGTTGGTGTCTGCATATCCTAGGACACCCATTTCCCCCTGCCAAGCCCCTCATCTTACCTCCAATCTGTGGTGCTCTGACTCTGATAGCATTGATGCTGCCTCTGAATCGATGCCTGACACCCTGAATTTTTTTTTTTTTTAAAAAGAAGCAGAAACCCTTTTGGTTAATCAATTCCATACTTAAAGAGGACTCATAATTCAAGCAATGCACGTAGAACACACATTTTAGGATTTGGTAGTTTGGAAAGAAAATGAATATCTGAACTTCTGTCATTATAGTCAGGTTAGTATCTTTCAGAAGTATTGAATACAACTGCCCTCATCCCTAAAACTCAGGCAGATGAGAATTGTAATCCCAACCCTGTAGAGCAGGAGTGTCAAACTCAATTTCATTGAGGGCCGCATCACCATTGTGGTTGCCCTCAGGGGTGGGTGTGGCCAGGGTGGGTGTGGCCTACTGGGTGGGCGTGGCCAGCTCTACATTGTTCGTGTCAAGGGTGCCTGTGGGGGGCCTGGACAGGAGTGGGACAAATCTGAGGGTCTCTGGAAGAACGGGGTGTGACCAGAGCAAGCGCCAAGGCATGGTCCATTTCTTCATTCCTCACAAAGGGTGACACCTCTGCAGCATGCACCCAGGGGGCGGGGCTGACACAGCAGGGGTTGGTTCCTCGGTGTTTCCAGACGGCCTTGTGGAGCTAAGACTGAATGCGTTTCAGCATAGATAGCCACCACAAAATTGTACATTGGCTCCCGGCCGGCCTGGGCCAGGGCCAAGGCAGTGGGGGCCATTCCCTCACTGTTTCCAGGATGGCTTCGCGGGCCACATGAAACCACTTCGCGGGCCGCATTCGGCCCCCGGGCCTTGTGTTTGACATGTCTGCTGTAGAGGGTAACAAGCTGAGAAAAATAATACTATATTTATGAAACAGGTTTACCAATAATCAAACAATAACTGAAATTAAGAATGTACTGTTTGGATGATCAGCGAAATTCCAGGCTCAACCAATAATAAGTAACAAGACTGCAGAGCAGTAAAGGTGCATATGGATGCAAACAATAGCCATTTTTTCAAATTGTTAAATCATAAAGCTAAATATTATACATTAAATCCCAGCACTGCCTCTAAACTTATTATAGCAAATGTCATTGAAACAAGAATGTTGACTCTACACACTCCATTTCCTCATTACAATACTTGCTACTTAAAGGGAGCAAAACATAATAAAATCAAATGAAATAAAGATTAAAAATAAAATATGTAGAACTCACCACTGGAGCATTGCGAAAGCCTTTGACTGCTTGAAAGACACCCCCACCAATTATTCCCATAGTAAATGCACCACCACAGTCATCCACAATCCGCCAGGGGCTGTCAGATAGAAACAAGTTAGTGTAGGCTCCTCACATAGGAAGCTCTGTTATGCTAAGAATTTATGTTTGATTAAATACTACAAGTATTTAAATTTAATTTTTATGAAGTATTGTACTACCTCAGTATGATTCTGATATGTATTACTGATGCTTTAATATAATAAATGAAAATTGTTGTGACTGGCAGCCAATAAGTGAGCTCCTTTTCAAAGCACACATACGTGCACAAACAAGTAATCAACAATTTACTAGCCTATGTGTAGACACATACACCAGCTTGGAGGAAAGTATAGAACAGTTGCAACAGAATATCACCTGCATAGAGAACCCAGATGCTAGTACACTGAGCTGCTGCCCATACAGTAGTAGTTCCCTCTCAAAACCTCACTCCCTTGACAACAAATTCATGTGAATTCTCTGCTTTTATTTATATTTACAAATATCCACCCATTACATTTCATCTCAAATGTATTAAAATACATTTCTTACTTATTTGTTTACATGTAATTTCTAAAATAAAACTATCATAGACAAAAATATTTTAAACAAGTTTTAATCATAAGGATTGCAGAAATTACAGGAGGCTGAAAGCATTCTACACGTGATAAAGTTACTTGATACAGATATTGATCCACACAAGTGTTTCCTAAACATTTTGGTTCATGTTGAAATGCAGCCACAAACATGAACCATCTCTCTGAATAAAAGACAACTAGGTTGTTAACAACACCAACTACAGGTGGTCCTCGACTTACCATCACAATTGAGCCCAAAATTTCTGTTGTTAAGTGAGACATTTGTTAAAAGTGAGTGTTGCCCCATTTTAAGACCCTTCTTGCCAGTTGTTAAGCGAATCACTGCAATTAAGTTAGTAACACTGTTAAGTGAATCTAGCTTCCCCATTGACTTTGCTCATCAGAAAGTTGCAAAAGGTGATTACATGATCCTGGGACACTGCAACAGTCATAAATATGAGTCAGTTGCCAAGTATCTGAATTTTGATCATGTGACCATGGGGATGCCGCAATGGTTGTCACTGCGAGAAACGGTCATAAGTCACTTTTTTCAATGCTGCTGTTACAGTCACTAAACTGTTGTAAGTCAAGGACTACCTGTATAGTTATAACAGCATCCACTTAATCTGCAAGTTCCTAATTCACTGATTACACAGACATGTGGGCAGTGGTGGGATTCAAATATGTGAACAACCGGTTCTGTGTGGATGCCGCTTCCAGAAGTCCATTCTGGGCCTGGGCAACAAAAAATTAGCTACTGGTTCTGCCGAAGTGATGTGAACTGGCTGAATCCCATCACTGCATGTGGGCTGATAAGTGAAGATGCTCAAGTAGTTTTTGGCAGTGGTTTGCTCTCCAAACTTGTTTCTTTCAATTTAGTTTCTGAACATTACATTACCAGACTAGGTAACATCATCAGTAGGATTTTCTTCTCCCATTTTCCTTAGCTTATAGGAAAATAGGAGACGAAAATCCCGCTGATGATGTTACCAAGTCTGGTAACAAAATGTTCAGAAACTAAATCGAAAGAAACAAGCTTGGAGGAGCAAACCACTGCCAACATCTAAAATGCGAGCTACAAATGTTTTTTATTATTTCAAAATGCTCCAGTGGTACCCCAACAGCCATCCCAGAGCACTCCACACCAGAAGACAGTAGTAAAGAGAGTGGGCAGAGAGATGGACACGGGGCAAGGAAACCCAAGGATACACATGCTCACTGTTTAATAACATTCATCGGGTGACCTTGGAGCTATTCCTCCCCCTTCTATCTTCCTGCCCAAGAGTTGTGCTAAAAACTGAAAAGCCAACTGGTTCCTTTGTGACTTTTACGTAACGCTTCCGAAACCGCGTTCTGCCCTTGCTTGCTTCTGCAACTAGGAGGGGAGGAAGGAGAGGGGAGAAAGCATCCAAGTGTATCAATGTAAACAAGTCTGTAAGTGCTAGGGCAGAGGTGGAGAACCTATGGCACGGGTGCCAGAGGCGGCACTCAGAGCCCTCTTTGTGGGCACGCATGCCATAGCCCCAGTCCTAGGCCTTCAGCTGGGTTTTATAAAACCTTTTCCCTTTAGGCCTCCGCCGCCATGTGCAAAAAAAAAAAAAAAGGTTCAATCAGTCAATTTCAACTTCTTGCAGGAAAAAAAAATCTTGCAAAGTTGGAATTGATTGATTGAACTTTTCAGTCTCACCCAGTCTGCCATTACCACCGCAGCCATGCCCATCCAATTGGCCACGCCCACCCAATGGGCCACACCCACCTAGCACTCAACAATGCATAAGTGGGTTTTGGGTTGCAGTTTGGGCACTCAGTCTCTAAGGTTCGCCATCACTGTGCTAGGGCTACTCTAGCAAAAGCCACGGTGGCGAGCGAGGCGCCAGTACAGCTCGAATCTCCCAGGCTTTTGGGCTGCGGGTTAAATTCCTTCTCAAGAATTCCCTGCACGGAGATGGGAGGGAATCCGATGGCTTTCTCCGCTGACCTTGAGCTACCTCACAGGGGTGTTGTGATGGATGCAAAATGGGACCGGCCCTCCCGCACCTTGCAGAGGAAGGGAAGCGAGGGAAAGGAGCAGCTGAGGGAGAAGGAAGGAGGGGCCAACTGAAAGGAGGAGCCCCGACTACGGCCGGCTGGGAAGGGTCTCCCCAAACTTCCCCCGCGGCCTCGAAGGAGCCGAAGCCCACCAGCAAAAAATGCGACACGCTGGCTCGCGTACGAAGCCGACCCCCGAGGCAGCCCCCCCGCCCCCACCCCTCGGTTACCAAGGTTCCCGGGCATATTCCTCCATTGCTCCCGGCCTTAACCTCGATGGCTCACGCGAAAAGGAAAGACGCCTCCGGGCGAATCACGTGACCAGTGCCTATTGGCCGGCCGGGTGCACGTGGCAAGAGTCGAATGCATTCGAGCTTCGGAAAATAACCGAAGGTAGCTACGTCACTCGCTGCTTGGTCCCAGAAGTGGGAAAGCGGGAGTGAGGGCGGCGTGGTTTTCAAATGCTCTGATTGACACTTAATTAACCCAAGAGAGGGAGGAGTTACATCACAGAGCGGGCCTATCGAATGATCGCCTGAGGTGCTGCTCTTATTAAACCGTAGCTTCCCGCCTTCGTGTTTGTCTTCGGCCGATGAAGATACGAAAGGCGGGGTCAAACGATGCTATCGGTCTGTATTTCGTCACTACCGGAGGAACAAACCTGCTCTAACAGCTAAGAGGGCGTCGAAGGGGGTGAGGCCAAAATTGAGCCCTCTTTCCCTGGGATTGGTTGGTTGATTTTCATTTAACGATGACGTTTGAGGAGGCGGGGAAAAGCTTATCGGGGGGGGGGCAAAAGAGAGGAATACTGTCGGGCCGCGGATTGGTGTAAATGTGTCACGTGTAGGTGGTTCCAGGAGCAACTGGCGCGGCTGTGGATCCGGTAACGTGAAGGGCTGTTTGCGAGGTTTTTCTTGAGCGCGCGGGGGCGTGTATGTGGCTCTGTGGGGCGTTAAGAAGGTGAGACTGATGAAAATGTGGAAGAGTAAACTGGGACTGGTCGTCCAGTGAGCATTAATACTGCCTGAACTAAGACGTTTTTTCAAGGATCACTTCTTACACAGAAACGACGATAATAAATAGAGTCCTCGTTGTGCACAGGTTCTAAGGCAGGGATAGGCAACCTTGGCTCTTTTATAACTCGTGGACTTCAACTCCCAGAATTCCTGAGCCAGCCATGCTGAGGGGAAAGGGAGAGGTTTCCATGCTTAGCCATGCTGGCTCAGGAATTCTGGGAGTTGAAGTCCACGAGTCATAAAAGAGCCAAGGTTGCCTACCCCTGTTCTAAGGTCTTGGAATTTTAAAAGTGGGATAAAATATGTTAAAGATGGAAAGAACTCTCGTGTTTGTGCTCTTCAATTATACGCGGACAGGGTGTAATTTTTTTAAAAAAAAAAATCAAGGTTAGAATAAATATGATCATTTTATATGAAAAACTGAGCCAGCTAGGGTAGACCCGAGCAATTCTTCCTCGTGAGAATTCTATGTAATGAGCGTTTTGGTTTGCACGCAGTCCTGGCTGTAGTCTGATATGGTGTGGCAGCAATTTTATCAGCTTGGTAAAAATTGGATCAGAACATTCCTAAGGCACAGGTTAAACTTGCAAGATCCTGTTACAATTACCCAATCTCAATAAAATAATTTTAGCCTTAGCCTAGTCCAGGGGTAGGCAACCTTGGCTCTTTTATGACTCGTGGATTTCAACTCCCAGAATTCCTGAGCCGGGCTGGCTCAGGAATTCTGGGAGTTGAAGTCCACGAGTCATAAAAGAGCCAAGGTTGCCTAGCCGTGGACTAATCCGTTCTTTGGGGGGGGGGGCTTGTCACTAAGCTATCCATTTGATATCATTCCAAATTCTGATTTTGTGTAAGGGAGTCAAATACACTTTTAAACACTTTACTTGATTCCTAGGGGAAAGCACATAGACAGGGAAAAACAGAAAGTGGTGCTCTGTTGGATTATACCTACCCTCATCCATAAAAGCTGAATCCCATATATTCCGAAAAATAGTATTAAAGAATTCTGGTATGAAAGCTTATGGAGTGGTGTGCCTGTTCTGAAAAGAGCAGTGATAAGTGCTAAATGTAATGTGTGACATTTCTCTCAAGTATAGAAAACTGATTGGAAAGGCAACATTTGCACATCTGCTCCAATCTGATGCCTCTGCCAGTGGCATTGCAGTCCCGCCTGGCCAGGCGAGGCCTGCTGAAGCATGTAGAACCCGGTAAGTACAAAAAAAAAAAAATTAGGAGGAAGATAATTTGTATAGGCTGGCTACAAACCAAGGATGAGCATCTGGGATAGTACCGAGGAACTAGAGCTGGTTAGTTCCGAAGTCATTATTTTGGATCTCTAAAATTGGTATCCATTATGGATTGTGTAATTTTGCCACCTGTTGACCCCATCTTTTTTTTCAAACCTGATCCTGTTTCTTTCCACATAAGAGCCGGAAGAGGAAATAATTGCAGAAGATTATGATGATGATCACGTTGATTATGAAGCCACAAGAATGGAGAGCCTGCCACCAAACTGGTACAAAGTCATTGACCCGATTTGGTAAGTGTATAGTGAGTGCTGAGTTTGTCCTGCTAATGATTTCTATCACGAGTGTTTTTAGTCTGTGCTTGCAGGATTGGTGCCAGTATTCATCAGTGCCTGATCAGGGACATGTTTCTGGTTCTGTTAGCTGATCTCTGAAACATGAAGGAGGAAAGATGTGCTGTCTATAGCCATCACTGAATTGGCACACTTTTTATTGTTTTTCATATCTCTGATCCAGCAGAATACTATTACTACATATATGCTTCCAAATCTACAGACTTTGGGGTACATACAGTATTAATAGGATTCAAAAGCAAAAATCAATTAATATAATGTGGAAGTAACTAGATGCTTTTCTGAAAAGTTAAACTTTTATGGCTCTGTTTGTCACAAGAATAGAATAGAATAATAGAATAAGAATGGAATGGAATGGAATGGAATGGAATGGAATGGAATAGAATAGAATAGAATAGAATAGAATAGAATAGAATAGAATAGAATAGAATAGAATAGAATAGAATAGAATAGAATAGAATAGAATAGAATAGAAGCTGGAAGGAATGTTGGAGGTCTTCTAGTCCAGCCGCCCGCTCAAGCAGGAGAACCTATATACCATCTCAGACAAGTGACTGTCCATTCTCTTCTTAAAAATCTCCAGTGATGAAGCACCCATGATTTCTGAAGGATATTCTGAAGATTTACATGATAGATGGCATTTATTAGGTTGGGAGAAATCTTCTGTGCCTGAAAATTTTGATTATGTTACCTAGATTGGAGTCAGAATATTATACCAACCTGCGAATTATGTTAACCATGATGATATGATGATGGGTCATGAAGTTGGTGTTGACTCTTAGCGATCACATAAATAGGTTTTCTCTAGGATAATCTTTCACCAGCTTGGTCCCTCAGGTCTTCCTGAATAAATGGTGAATATGTACCCATTACTGCTGTAATTGAGTCCATTCAGCTTGCTGCTGATCATTCTCTGCTTTCTTCTACCTTTTCAAGACAGCTAGGTATTTGCATAAAGTGTCTAAAATATGACCATTTGTGCCTTAAGTGACAACTCTGAATTGATACGTTACTTGATCCATATGTTTGTTTTCTTAACTATCTTAAACTGTCTATCCTGCTTCTTAAAAGTCACAAGGAAATCATTGCTTGTATGATTTTAATCTTGGTAGATATAAACACATCTCAGCATCTGAATATCTTCATGGCTATTCTACCAAGTGCTAGGCTGCAGCTTATTTCTTGACTGCTTGATAATAGTAGATAGCTAATCCTAAAAGCAAGACCCAAGTTTACATCCCTCAGCTATGAAGCTCACTGAGTAACTTTGGACTAGTTACCCTGCAGTCTTGGGTTTGGGGTTTTGTTTTTGTTTTGTTTTTTCAGGGAGGAGTATTGTGAGAAGGGAACTGGGGGAAAAACAGTGGGATATCAGTCTAACTAAAATAAATTCAGGTTTTTGAAATTCCAAAATTCCAATGGCTTTTGACAAAAAGTGTTGAGAATACATTTCATTGTTTCCGGAGAATGGGGAAATTGAGATTTGGAACTATTGCTATTGGCTCTAGAGCTTGCAAATATGATTCTGTTCTGCTTGTAGCTGCCTGCCTTATTATTGGAACATAGAAAGTGATCTGGTTTCATGGCTCTCGCCTAACGATCCCAACTCGGTGATGACCAAAGCAGCCAAAAAACTGAAGAACAGCTTAGGTAAGAATGTTTTGTTTTATATACAGGGTTTTGGGTGAGTAGGTCATAGTAGGGAAACTATAGACTGGTCTTAAATGAATATGGGAATTAATCTCCAGAAGCATAGAAAATTTGATCTGGCCTCTGGTGAGAATGAATGTCTGCCTAAGGCTACAGAGTGAGGATGGATAATCTATGGCCTCTGGACACCCCTTCTGCACTGGCTTTTTTTTTTTTTTTTTTGGTTCTTAAACAAAAATGTACATAAGTAGCATATACAAGTAGTCCTCAGTTAGAGACCACAATTGGAACCAGCAACTCAGTTAAAATAAAGTGGTCACTAAGTGAAACCGTGACTGTTGGTATGATCCTCCTCTATTTTTAAAGGAAAAAATTCTAGAACTCTTTGAGTGATGCATTTTTCCATCATTTTGAGGTGGGAAAACATGCAGCTGTAATGTGGAAGTTAAAAAAAACAACAGCTATCTAAAATCTTGAAACGTACCAGATTCTCCTGCTGCATTTATTGCCAGCCCAGTGAACCACAGGCCTGGCCATAGCTTTTACAACTCTCTCTCTCTCTCTTTCTTCCCCCCCCCCCAATACAGGGGGGGTTTACAGAAAATATATGCAATCATGAAGAGAGGTGGAATGGAATGGAAGTGTGGGGTTAATTACTAGCGATTTGATCTGGAGTCATTTAACAGATAATACTTGATTTTATGAAAAAGGATAGTGTCATCTACTCTCTGCATCACAATAAATAGTCAGTGGGCAATCTTATAGGAGAGGGAATAGACCAGTGTTTCTCAACCTTGACCATTTTAAGGCATGTGGACTTCAACTCCCAGAATTCCACAGCCAGCATTGCTGGCTGTGGAATTCTGGGAGTTGAAGTCCACATGCCTTAAAATGGTCAAGGTTGAGAAACACTGGGATAGACGGTTATATTCGCAGTATTCATCAACAATGAAAGGCTATTGAAACTGCATCAATGACCTTCTCTCCCTCTCTTTCACAAGGAGCCATACATGCTGCTGTTTTGATAGTTAACTGGTTATGGAGGTGTTAAGGTGGTGTTAGGTGGCCACTGATTATACTGCGTAGGTGCAATTCAGTTTTCAAAAGATTTCCAAAGCAGAGGAAATAATCCACTTACAGGTTGTCCTCATTTAGTGTCTACTTTATTTAGCAACAGCGATGAAAAAGTAGCTCTATCGCCAATACTAACGTTTACAACCTTCACAGGTTTGTCAAAAGCAAAGGAAAGCTGAAATAAGATCATACGAAAAGTCGCGGTCCCATGTAGTGACCACTTAAGCTGTTGGTTCCAACTGTGGTCTCTAGCCAAGGACTACCTGTGTATACAGTGCCTACTTAGATACATTATTGTTTAAGAACAACCAAAAGAAAAAAAAAATGACAGTGCAGAAGGGAAGGCAAGTGGTAGGCTTTCAGAAAACTAATGCAAAAATGTTCATCTCCTTTAGATGCTGAAAGCAAGGCAGAACGCTTCCATGATAAGGTAGAGCGTGAAGAGGTGAAGGAACGTCGCTATCACCGGCGGGAAGAATTGGCCCCCTATCCTAAGAGCAAAAAGGGTAACAAGCAGATTCCCTACCTTGAGCTCCTCCAATGTCTTTCAGCTAGAGCAGGGGTAGGCAACCTTGTCTCTTTTATGACTCGTGGACTTCAGCTTCCAGAATTCCTGAGCCAGCATGGCTGGCTCAGGAATTCTGGGAGTTGAAGTCCACGAGGTTGCCTACCCCTGAGCTAGAGGCATACAGTGTCTCCTCTTGGAGGGCTGGGTTTCTCTTAACCCCATAAGGGAGAGTGATTATCAAAGTCTGGCATCCCTCTTGTCTTTCTTCTCTACAGCAAGCCGAAAGGATGAAGAACTTGATCCCATGGACCCCAGCGCTTACTCCGACGCTCCTCGGTGAGTCTCCTTGGTAGAAAGCTCTACTTACTGCTTCAAGCCTTCTGCTGAAGCTGAGTATCATGGCGGAAAAACAGCTGCTTGGCAGATCAGAAGTAGGCACGGGGAGAGGGCAAATGTTTCCAGTTTCAGGATTGAAAGAGATAACCGGAAGTGGGTGTTTAAAAAAAAATGTGAATAGCTCCCTGCTGGATCTTAAAAGAGGTTTCACTAATCAGAAATTATGATTGGACTATATCTTTCTTTGCTCGGATTTGATATATGGCATGTTTCGTGTCTTCCAGTTGTCTGCTGGAATTATCAGCGAGATGCATTGAGGCATTTTAAATTATCCATTCTATATTTTAGCAGGCTTGGATCTGTTGGGACTGGAAGCTTGCTTTTTCTAGGAAAACCTGGGTTATAAGGAAATGAAATTCTATCTCTGTAACTACATTATTTCATTTTCTCAGAACTGTTACCGATCAGAGGCTCAAGTGTTTGTGTCTTAAAGATGCTCATGGCATTGTAAAAGTCACCAAGCACTTCAGGCTGTTTTAGGAGCTGAGAACTAGGAGAGTGGATGCAGGCGGGGTAGGACCAAGGCTAGATGACGTTAGAAAACAGAGGCAAAGTGCCAATGACAGTCTTGGAGAGGCGCCAGCAATGCCAACTTTGTCTCTGCATCTTTTCTATACTTCAAGGGGAACCTGGTCCACGGGGCTGCCCAAGCGGAACGAAGCCAAGACGGGTGCAGACACCACAGCCGCCGGTCCACTCTTCCAGCAGCGCCCTTATCCAAGCCCCGGGGCTGTCTTGCGTGCGAATGCAGAAGCTTCTCGAGCCAAGCAGCAGGACTGAGATGCCCGCTGCTCCTTTTATCCGTGAATGTATTTGGTCATTACGTTCTGAAAGGCCTGCTGCAAGAGCAGGGCTCCCTCCGGACTGCAGACCGGGCCAGTGGTAGTCTTTCCAGATCTTTAACTACAACTCTGGCATGTCAGTGGTAAGAGATGCTGGTTTTTATAGTTCAGAGGCTTCTGAAGGGCTGCAAGTTCCCAACATCTTTGAGGCTTTGGAGAGGCGGGGTTTTTTTTCCCTGCGGAAGAGGTTTTAACACTGATCGACCTGCTGACTTCTGCAGAGAACAGTCTCCTCACGGGTCTCCATCTCCTTCTCCCATCCCACTTTGAATGTCTATAAAAAGTTGAGGGAAAACACGCTTTGGTTTTTCCCATATAACAATTTTTATCAGCTTACAATATTTGCACGGCATAAAGAAAACGTTTGCAAACAGGTTTGTAGAGTCTGGCTAGGAAGGCCCAGCCAAGGCAAGGAGATGGAAGCCAGCGCACCTTCCAGCCCCCTCCTCCTCCCCCAGCTCAGAGTAGCTAAGACACGCAGCTGTTTGATTCTGCTTAATAAATGATCAGTTGACACCTGGCTTGCTTGCTTGCTTGAGGAATCTGTATTATGTTTTTACAAGAATAAATAAAATATACAAAGCTGCATAGTAGTATTTAAAATGTAACACATTAGTTCCATATAATCTCAACACTGTCTTTATAATGCAATTAATACTTGATACAATGCTACAGTTCTGCACTAATACATGGCTGGGGGGGGGGAGCCATAAGGAGTAAAAAGGAACACTCTCTCCCTTTGTACAAGGGAGGGAAAGGCTCAGTGCACAAAGAGAAACAGGAATGGAAAGCAACAAGTTAGTAGGTTGTCTTCTTTTTGGTCTCCAAAATCTGGATTTGCCCAGACCAGACTTTTGCCAGCTCAGCTGCGGAAAGCAATGCAGAGCTAAGCCATGGAGTTTAGATTTGGTTAGTCTCTGCTGCAGATTCTCAGGTGGAATAAGAGCAAAGCCTTAAGACAAGTTAACAACTGTTCTGATAATGTCTGTCATTCAGAACAGAACGGTTGTTCGGAATCAATCTCAGTGCACAAGAATCGGGGGGGGCAAGGGTGGTTCACGCATAATTATTTTCTTCCTGAACTCACTCATACTGCCACCTAGGACCATTCTATAATTAGTATTAATATCTCAAAAGGTATTGAGCAAGTTTTTGAACTTATAAAATTTCTCTCCCCCCCCCCCAATCCCAGCTGTATTGTAAACAAAGCAGAATCAGGGAAGGAGAAAGAATTGGTCCTCCGTGTTGCAATTTGTAAGAGACTCCTGGCAGAATTTGGCAAACACAAGGAACAAACCTTAGAATTCAAATTGCACACCATGTTACTGAGACAATCAGTTAAGGGTATTGCGTCATTTAAAAAAAAAATCAGCTCCAATAGCTCCTTTACTCCTCTGGGATGATATAATTGATCGTCTCTAAATGGACCATTAATTGCTACTGGAATCCCTCTGGTTCAGTCCTGTATGTGAGGCAGGTCTTAACGAGAGACCAGCTCGATAAAAAGCGCATCGGGCGACCAAAAGGCACGTCTGAGAATGCCGTGAATTGTTCTGCATCCCGTAAGCGTTGGCAGAAGGTTTCATTAATCCAGGAAAGCATCACAGCGGAAATGGTGCTGAAGTCTTCTGTGGTGGTTTTCTTTGCTGCTTTAAGAACCTTTCTCTTTAGCTGAGACCCTGAAAAAAAGCAGAAGAACGGTTGAGCTTAGTCTGGGACGGGACCTGGCGAGCGGTCAGCTCTTAGGATACTCCATCTGCCTCTTAGCAAATTAGTTACTCACTTTCCTCAACCTGGAAACTGATTCACTAATCTAGATGGTACAGGGGAAGGGTGATCACTCATATTTTTCTTTCTCTGTCTACAATCTATTCCTTGCCAAAGTCAGGAATTTAGATAAAAGAATCCTCATTACTATCCTAGCCTTGGTTACTGAAACCTATTGATTTAATCATGCGCTCTACCAATAAACAAGCATGAATAACATGGAACAATATCCTTTGGTGTTTTATAAGTCTTTAATTGCAGTATGCAATAGCCTGACTATAGCTTTCTGAGTGGGCCCTTCACTTTGATAATGAGATTTGGTGCTCAGACAAAACCAGAACCATATATATTATGTGATCATGGTAGGCAGCCCTAAGTTGACAGTCTGACCCTTTCAGAATTGCACTTCTCCAAAAATTTCAAAACAGCAGGCTTCTAGCCCTTATGCTTATGTGGGTGGTTTTTAATAATGGCTGGGTTCACATACTGCAATTAAACCACAATGATTTTGGTTTACTGTGTTCTCCGAACACAATCATGATTTGTGAACAATTTAGAACTGAATGTATTGCAGCAAATCCCACCATGGATAATAACAAACTCTATTGGATCTTGCTATTACCAATTGTAATTTAATCAAGTAAGCCCTTTTTCCTAGTCTGCAGGAATCAAAAACATTCTGCCACAGAAAGAAATTACAACTATGAAGTCCTTGGTGATCTCTGAGCTTGCTGGCTTTCTTGAAGACGTTTCATTACCAAATTAAGTAACTTCATCAGTGCTAGGAATAACAAAAATACATTTCCACTTTGGATATATTAGAAAATGAATTTTGCCTATAAAGGAAGAGAGACAACTATAGCAGAAGCATATAACTCCCATGATTTCTTGTTTTTGTTTTTTATATTTGCCTGTTACAGGTTTCCCAAGTGTTTTTATACTCACGAGGGCTTCAAAGACATTCAACTGGGGCACCGGGGTGGGAGTGGGGGTGTTAGAGGCAAACTAGCAGGCCCAACTGGGAGGATCAAAACCCTGCCCTGTCTTAGGTTCATGTAGAAAGACTGGAGCATGATCACCCAGTTGCGTTCCCATTTTTACACTATTGACACTTCTTGTGGATATCCCTAGAAAAAATATCTCTCTGATGGTTAATTAAGCCATCTAGCAGGATTGAAGAGCATGTCATGGGTTTTCTCTGACCTGAGACTTTTGAGTTCAGCTCAAACTTCTTAGGTTGTTGTGATAGCTTTGCTAAGCAAGGTATCTTTAGATCAACATGGTAAATTACCAGAATGGGTAATCTGTGGCCTTTCAAATAGCACTGAACTACAACTCCTAGCATCCTTTATCACTACCCAAGCTGGCTGGGAATATTGGCGTGGTGGTTTGGTAACATCTAGAATACAATATGGGATCAACTCCATTCCTGATAGCACTGCATTTGGATCAGGGACGGAAATATCAAAGCTCTGTTTATTGGAGAGTTGTCCCCTTCTAGCTAGAGCCACCTAAAGTGATTGGAGTGACGGAGCAAAGAATATGTTTGAATGCTTTCTGTGGGAAGATCAAAATTTAGCGATTATTCCATTAGTCCACTTAATAGATCATCATATAGATTAGGGCAAATGGCGCCCATCTGGCAAAGAGGAATTATATGCACAGATTCCATGTAATATAAGCAATGGCATGGTTTTTTTACATTACATTACAAAGGCTTGCTGTGTTTCAATTACATGCTCAGCCAATTATCCCAACCAATGGTTTATGCAGTTTACCCAGTTTTCTGGGTTTCCAGGATGCAATGAATTATAAATGTTCAATCAGAGTTGATGCCACAAGCATGGCTAAAATGTTTACTGACTTGTGGTACATTGTGTTCTTATTTTAACAAGGTTGTTACGACATATTGTCACAGTATCTAGGACACTGACCTATTTAGTATTTCCTCCTTTTGCTCATTGAGCCAGATCTGTAAATACAGCCAGAATAAATCATGCCAACAAGCAATGTAGTTTGAGCAAAAAAAAAAAAAAAACCAAAACCCAAGATGGGGGAATATTATTTTGAATTCTTTCATGCTACAAACTCCAATTAGAAATTAAACATTAGAAGAAAAAGGTCTGTTTTAGCTGCAGTTTTAGGAAAGAGTATTTTCCTTTCTCTGCAACTCACAAAACTCTGGATGTTCCTGGCAACCTTTTTTTTTTTTTTAAGGGAAATAATTATCTCTCATATTTAGCAAAGAAAAAAAAAGTAAAGTGGCAAATCAGGAGTTATCTCCACAGCAGTTGTCTGTTGTGTGGAGCAAGCAAATATCTCAACTTGCATTTGAAATGGGCCCCCAGACTGAACCTACATATTGTGCTAAGACATAATTGTGGCTTTCTTAGTTGGTTAGCATGTTGTGTGAATCAGTTTTGGTTAATTGATATTTATTAGTTCATTATTAGTCCAAACATGGCTCAGCACTTTGTGCAAAACTAAGTGTTTACTCAGTAAACTCCTAGTTGAGCATATGTGAACTATGACCACTATTTCTGCCTGGGAGTAACCACAGAACTCACAATATTAACAGCGTTATGTAGAAGATATCAGTAGAAGATAACAGCAAAGAACTGCCGGTGGTTCTAATCTTATTATAAATTAGTGCTCAAATATGAATCTCCAAAGCAGCAAAAAATTATCAGTTTGGTTACAAATCCAGAATGGAGAAATGGTAAGATGATGAAAATTAATAGTTCCAAGAGAGGCCCAGTGCTTTCCAAGAGATATGCACTAATCAATTGGAGCCCCCCCCAGAAAACGGGCTATAGTAAGTATATCTAACTCAGTGGTTCTCAAGCTTTTTAATGCCGCGACCCCTCAACCGGTCGTAAGTCGAGGATTACTCAACTGGTGCAGCACCGTTTGCAGAATGGGACTTTTGGCGGGCTCAGCAGGGCAGAGACAGCCTGGACAATTCCTATTGGCTTTTGAAAGCCAATAGAATTAGACTCTATTCAAGAGAGTCTATTCTATTGGCTTTCAAAAGCCAATAGAATAAAAGGGAGTAGCACAGCTAAGGAAAAGGGGGAAAAAAATGGCGGACTGTGTTGTTTGGTGACCCCCGTGAAATGGTCGTTCGACCCCAAATGGGGTCCCGACCCACAGGTTGAGAACCACTGATCTAACTGGAATCTGTAGAGCAGAATCAATGCTGAAGACAATCTAGCTGGGTTATAGAAATTCCTCTGATCCAATTTGGCTCAGCAATTCCTACCTGTTCATCCACAGCTCACATCAAATATTTTACCTTACCCTGCAACTTTTTTTTTTAAGTCAATGTTCTGAAAGCAGTGGTTTAGATCTTCTAAGATTTATCAGTTCAGCAAAATGTGCATAATTTTGCTTACTTTTAATCTTTATTAATCCTTATAAGTTACCAGTCTTCTTGTGAGATAAGGAAATATTGGATAGCACAGAAAATCCGCTCGATGACTCTTTGAAAATGCCATTTAATCCTGTTTATTGGCCACTAAAATTTCACAGCCACATCTTTAAAACCTTCAAGGACAGCTCTTTCCAGATCCACTTGGAAATCTTAAGACTGACCCAATCCCATGCTACTTACCAACTGCTCTTCCTCATGGAAACCAAGGTTTCAGTCTTTGCCGTCTTTTACTTTCTGCCTTGGTCATGGGGAGGGAAGATCAATTCAAGCAAGCAAATCTGTCATTCTGCAGTCTGAGGTGGTGCATCAGATCTGGCAGAATGCTACATTGGGCCCCAGAGGTCATTCTCATTGAGCCTCGAAGAGAATGCAACATGACCCATTTTCATGTGCTCCAGAGCTGGTTCCTTGGAATAAATCATGGATCAAATAAGAGGAGTAATTATCTATGTTACTACACTGTGCCTACTGTAATTGGAATTTCTTTTCCTAGGAAGAGTTTATTTCCTCCCAGATTTTTACAGTATGCATAACAGGAAATCGCATCTCTCCTGTTTGATTGGGAGGGAATCCTACAGTTCTAGAGACCCAATCTTCCATTTTTGGTTTAGGTGTCTTGAGCACTGAAGTTCAGATGCATCATCCAAATGCTCAGGGTGGAACTTCTTTAGAAGGAGGCGGGTAGAATTCTGAGGAAAGAATTTGCAGGAGCCATTTTATTCCCACTTGTGAAAGGCAATATTGGATCATAATGCATGTGGACTTTATAAGTAGACACACTTTAGATCAATCTGAACTGCAAAGTGCAACGTCAGTTCCCGGCCCTTGAGTATCATGTAATTCTAATTTTAACATACTTCACTGTTGGTAAAGCCAAGCCCAACTTTAATGATTAGAGAGTGCTGAATCAAATGGAAGAGTTAGGCTATGACTGTTCCTTCTGATAGGGATGTACAATCTGAAGCATCGAAGCTGTCAGTGGCCATTTAAAAACTTGAGTGTGGCGCCCAAGAACCCTTTTAAAAAAAGGGTTGCAACGTTTTATGTGACAAGTCAACGGCTTTCTGCATTTCAGTATGTATCGCGTGCATATATTGTTTCAGATACTACTAGCTGCTGCTTCAGTCATTACATTCCAGCTGACTCACAGGCATGTGAAAAACAAATACTTTATGCCAGCCTTTCTCATTTGGATGTCCACCAAACCAAGTGGTTTGAAGCTGACCCCGATCTCAAGTGAAAAGGCCGTCCCATCCTTGCCCCAGCCATCTCTCGGTGTTAATAGGGTTAGACATGCAACATGAGACAGATCAGCCCTTTTCCAGGCTTCCTCAATCATTAAGCAGTAAGGCTAAATAAATACACGCTCTTTATTCATCTGTAATTTATGTACATTGACAAACAGTACAGGCTTTCTTTGATTGTTTTCCTTAAAAAAAGCAGAAATTCATAAAAAAATGATTAGCAATGTAAAAAAACTTGTACATACACACTCACGCACATCACGGTGACTTGTGTTTATCCTCCCCCATTTCAAAAGGAAACAAAATTCACCCAACACTCTCCCACTCCCTTCACACACACTCCAGAGTTAGTGTAATCCCCCCTCAACCAACAGACCTAGTCCATATAAAATGCATAAGGATTAAGGAGAGGCAGTTTACACCCCAAAAAGCCTCATGTATTAACATAAAAAGGAAACTGAGGCAGAGAAGGGCCTTAACTTCTCAGAATCCCAGCCTCTCTTACCCTTCTGTTGCTTTTAGGTTCAAAATGTACACAACATGTGAACCATCCAACTGGACAATTAGCGTGCAGCCTGTACAGATTGTTGCCTGGAAGTGCAGATCAAAGGGAGGCCTCTGTTTGGGGGTGGGCGAAGAGGGAGGACACACTTGAAATGGGCTTTTGACATTCACTAAGAACCCTGTTTTCATTTAATCACCTCTCCTCCTTGCAAAGTACAAAAGAAATGAATGGCACTCAGATTCTTAGCTTCTGCTCCACAGACTTCCCTGTGGTTGTCCTGGAGTTCCAGAAGGCCTATTTTGGCGCTCTTAATAGCCACAGCACCAGCAGACGGTTGTCCTTTTTATCTCTGGCTGATGCAAATTTCTCTTCCCATACTGTGTATACATTATATACCCATATCTGCTGGCTCTAACCTTTACCCTGAGGTTCTTCTTACTTCAAGCCATGTGTCCCTTATGTGAAATGAGACAATCTGTCCCAGTCCACTTTCTCTGTCCCTAACAAAACCTTAATTAATTAATAATGATTCAACATTTGCCCAGTAACTCCCAAACATTTAATATTCTAAATATACACTGAAGGCAGGAAAGAATTAACTACACTTTAAACTCCGTACCCTTTCCACAATGATCCAACAGCATTTGCTAAATAACCAGAGCTGGAAAAGGAACAAAAGCAGAATGCCAAGCAACTCAAATACCCAACACCTTTGTTTCAATGGCCTGGTACTGCTACATGCACGCACCCATACACAACATTTCTTGTTCAGTTTTCATCTGCTTACAGTAGATAAATTTGACAATTTCAGAGCAAACAGCTGTAAACAAGCTAATTCCTATTACTTTCATGTATCTGGCAGTTAAGAAACCATTGGTATGCTCCAAAGGGCAAATGATGTTTTTTCTTCACATTTCTCTCTTTATGTGCTGTTACGTATCCCCCTCTCAATCCTTCTTGTGATTGTATCTTGTGATTGTGTACTTTTATTAAAAGTACACTTCTTTATAAAACTTCTCCCTGTTGACCAGACATAAGGAAGTTCTTGGGACAGAATAGTCCCGTTACAGTTCTGCCCCAAGTTGATTTTCAGGAGGCAATGATTGCCAAAGGAGGGACAGTGGAGAAACGGATAGGAAAGTTAGAAGTCAAAGAGAAGGTGAATTTCAATTTCAAGCCAACAATGGCAGATAACCAGCTGACGTATGTGGAGAATTGTACATAAATACATAACTGGCTAAAATAACACGTTATGGGTCTATAAAACAGGCAGCTGAATACCTTGGGAAGCAGATGAGAGAAAAAGCGGAAGAATATGGGTGGTCAGCACACAGGTTAAGAACATAAAGACCAAGGCAGAGAGGGGGAGGAGATGAAAGAGCAGAGAAGACTTAGGGAAAGAGAGTGAGAAGTGAAAAAGATGGACGTTGCAAAAAAAAAAAAAGGGGGGGGGTCCAGGTTTTGTGAACCTTCACAAGAAACCAGTGACAGGTAATGCAGGAGGTGTTCTGTTCTTCTCAACTGATCAGTACTGACTTGGTCAGGAAGCCATCTGTAGTCACGGAAGGAAGTTCCTTGCTTTGTGCTCCATGGCCCTGCTGCTGCTGGATAGCTGCACCCACCAGGGATCGACTGGACAATGCTCCCTTGGGCAAGCTGTATAGATAGACAGCCCCTATGACCAGGCCTGCTCCTAGAGCAAACAGTAGGTTGAGGTGGAAGTCAAAGAGGTAGATAGAAGCCACGGTGGACACCACAATGGAGAAGGAGGTGGCAAAGCCTTTGAGGATGTTGTCGGCGTATTTCACAACCAGTGCCACCAAGAGGCCACCAAAAGCCTGATTCAGGATCACTCCCCACACCAGTGGGGTGTAGCCAAAGAAGAATCCATGCTGAGCTACGGCTGCCCCCTCAGTGGACCACAGTCCCAACAGCCCTAGCAAGGTCCCGAAGATGCCCAGTTGGACGTTACGTAGCCAAACCGAGGCTGTGCTGCCCTTGAGGATCTTTTCAAAATAGACCCCAGCAAAGCCGGATGAGAGGCAGGACACCACCACGGCCACAAGTCCCACCATGTAGCTTTGTTGCATCCCCTGGCCCTTGGGGGCTGGCTTGCCTCCTGCCTGCTGCTGTTCCACTTGGACAATGGCTACACCGGCAAAAAGAAGCATGAGGGACAGCCACTGAAGACTGGACAGGCTCTTGCGGAGCATCAGCACCGAGAAGACAGCTGTGGTGAGGATCTTCAGCTGGTAGGTGACCTGGGAAAGGCAGTGTAGTTTAGTAGCCACCCCAAAATGCCATGAATCAGGAAGCTGCCTACCAGCCAGGGGCTTAAGGATTATGTAGTTCTCCTTAGTCCCAGACTCTAAATTATGCAAGGACTCTCCAGACTCATTGGACCATAATCCCCAGAATTCCCAGCAACTTGGAAGAGTTGCAGCTCCACTCATCCAGAAGATATCTGGTTAGGGAAAGTTAATCTAAATCACTATAGGGATCCAGATCCCTCTTTAGTTCTTATTCCCCATTTGCAAAAAGAGACCAAAATCTCAAAATGCTACCGCAGTGATTTAATCCACCTTAAATCTACAATCTTACTGAAACAAACAAGGTTACTGAAAACCATAGTGGTTTAGAATCAAATATCAGATATCCAGGATTGTGTGTGTACCCTTATTTAATCCCTTAAAAGTGGATTAAAAAAGTGGAGCTCGCGACAATTTGGCCATTTCAGCATCCCATTAGTGTTTGTTTTCATTTTTAAAGAGAGAGGAATTCTCTACTGTTTATGATAGTGTGAATATTTGTTTCGAGAATAACAAGAATATCTGCTAAGATTTCAGAACCTTGTAATTCAGCACGTTCCCCCCCCCAATTGATTGTCAGAAGTGAAGTACATTAGACCAAATCATAAAAATATTCAAAACTGAGCAGGGCAAGAGATTTGCTTGAGCTCCATAATTTACATAAACATCATTCAGCTTGAGAGTCCTTTGCAGACAGCTAGCTACAGCTCCCACTTCTGTGGTGAACAAACCCTAACGCCACCTGGATAAATAGTGTACTTATAATGAAATCAAATAATAACACGGGGAAACACATTGTATTTCTAGATGCATGCATGGGATTTCAATAAGCACTGTCCAAGAGACTTAAAGGAACATAACTCAGGATCTCCATCCTCATTACTCTGAGGTAGGGAAGAGGGACATATTAAAAAAAAAAGAAGAAGAACGGCAGATACATAAAGTAGATGAAATTGAAGGACATTCTCCTTCGGAAAGATGCTTTTAACATTTCCTGAGAGCACTTTAGAGCGGAAGTGAAAGTAGGAGGAGCATCTCACCTGGAAGGTAGCTGCTGGCAGGTTGGAGATGGCCACGTACTGCAGATTGTTTTGTAGGGTGTAAATGAGAGAAGGCACTGCTAGCTTGAGAGTGTCCATATACTGTACCAAAATGGAATCGTATAAAGAGGCAGCAAACTTTCTCAGATTACCTGGAAAAGGATACAGACAGGAAACTGTTTCTTTATACATATCAAGGCACAACAGATTATTTTTTCAGTCTTTTTTGCTTTGGCATGAATAACAATTGCAAAAGGGAGAGATCCCTAGTTATTAGACGTTGCAAATATTTGTTCCTATCCTTTGAAAATACTCAGGACAAGCACAGAGAGGGTGAACAGACAGAACCAGAAATACTACTCTCCCCGGGGTTATGGTGTGCAATAATCCTTTTTTCAGTGCTCGGGCATAAGAAAAAGTCACAGGCATTTATAATAGAGGAGAAGGGATTTAGGGTATGTATTGCACAACCTAGAGTTTACAGTCTAAGTCCTTGAGTTAATTTCCATAAAACTTCTGTTGAGTAAGCAGTTAAGACCCCTGGCAACAATAAACTGTTCTAGCCAGTTGTAGGGAAATGGAGACTGCAAAAGAGATCAAGGGGAAAAAAAGACAAAAAGGTAATCAGAAGGACTTGTCTCTGCTGGGGTTTTGATTTTATTGATCAATTCCTTAGGCTTCAGCCACAATGGCCATGAGGCTCCCTATATATATATATATATATATATATATATATATATATATATATATATATATATATATATATATATATATATTTGTATATAGGTCTTTGGTTGTTCGGGTTTTCTTAAAATTGGAAGTGTCTTGGCAACGTTTCGACGAAGTGTCATCTTCAGGCTGGTGTTTTTAGCTTCTTGCTTTGAGCAGCTGCTCAAAGCCTAGAAGATGACGAATATTCGTCGAAACGTTGCCAAGACACTTCCAATTTATTATATATATATATATATATATATATATATATATATAATATATATATATATATATGAGACTTATATACCGCTTTAAGTGCAAGCACTCTCTAAGCGGTGTACACCAGTAAGCAATGTATATATATATTTACATTGCCCCCAACAATCTGGGTCCTCATTTTACCTACCCCGGAAGGATGGAAGGCTGAGTCAACCTTGAGCCGGTGAGATTTGAACCGCTGACCTGCTGAACACAGTCAGCTAAAGTGGCCTGCAGTACTGCACTCTAACTGCTGCGCCACCTTGGCTCTTTTTAGATTATAGATTATTCTCATGGCTCAAGACCCAGGTATTTTCTCACAATGGCCCCGACCCAACCCGTAAGCTCTAAGAGTATGAGCTCCCTTAAGGTCACCATCCTTAAGGAATATCAATGCAGGAAACTCAGGGATTCCACGACTGCTCTCCCTTCTCCAGAATGATAGCCCATCCCCAGATCAGGTTCTCCTCTATGTCCTGTGAAGCCATTTAACCCTGGCTGTTTCAAATACACCTTTAAGGTCTGGAATATATAATAGCTCCCCTATAGAACAATGTTAGTTCATTATGGGATTTTACAGGGCTAATTTGCGGTTATTGCTGAATTAATGATTACTGTGGTTATTGCCCTTTTAATGCGATTACACAGTGACATGTGCAGGCTGCCCAGAGTCACTTGTTGACTGGACCAGCATGTAAGTAAATTAAAATAAAAATAAGCCCTTGCAAGAAAAGACACTGCTCACCTTACATCAATTGGTCTGTTAATCAGGTGTTTCATTTTGTACTTTGGCTCTTTAAAAAATAAATGTGTATATTTCTATTTACAGAAGGAGTTTTATGACCATATATACCTGTTTTAAATTATTTATTGATTCACACAATTCAACTGTTTAATTATATCATTGTTTCTCTCTGGGTACATAGAAATATTTTTTTCTTGCTTGTTTTCTTCCCACTTTTGTGTACAAGTTGCAAGCACTCAATCATGTTATTTAAAGTTAGGGTGAGCCAAATCCAGATATGGTCATAAAGAATAATACGCAGAAATGACATTAAAAGAAATTTAGATTTTTCAATTCAAACATTAGGCTGGTCAATGGCAGAAATACAAATTTCAATCCAGCAAGACTGCTAATGAACATGGAACACAGTTGGAACAAGCAAACCCTTCCTTAAGGGCCTCCATTTTCCTTGGTGTGATATTCCCACCTTGCTTCTGAATGAAGATGAGCAGTAGGCAGGTGATTCCTTTAAGAATTTCAGCCATAACCACCGCTGTTGTAGCAAAGAATCTGTCCCCTGGCAAAGTGCGCACATAGCGAATGCTGAGGATGAGAGAGGCATTTTGCACCACCAAGACTGCTAAACTGATGTACTTCAGCTGTCGGTTACCTGGAAAAGGAAAAGTAGAAAACAGCTCAGCATCTTTCTACCAATATTGCTCCCCAGCACATTCACAAGAGATGCTGCACTGAAAAAATGATCCCCATCCAGAAAGAGCACTAGAGATTTTGATGGAAGAAATAATTTGGAACCTCTGGGTCCCCTTTAAGTTTCTTGTATCAGAAACCACTAAAACAGATGTTAGAACAGTGGTTCTCAACCTTTCTAATGCCGCGACCCCATAATACAGTTCCCCATGTTGTGATGACCCCCAACCACTTATAAATCACCGGGTGCTAGGGGTGTGGCCAAAGAAAAGGGGGAAAAAATGGTGGACAGCCTTGTCTGGCGACCCCCGTGAAATGGTCATTCGACCCCAAATGGGGTCCCGACCCACAGGTTGAGAACCACTGTGTTAGAACATAGAGAATCAAGGCTTGAATTCACACAAATCAACAGATACACATGAAGACCGGCTCCCACCTTCTTCCCTTAGTTGCCAGCTCACTAGCTAGGATGCAGAATGGGGATTGTCAGAAGGGGGCAATCCTGGCTGACACAAGAGCTCCGCAGACTCATTTTTGTAGTCCCTAGACTCCAGCTTGCACTGTCAAAATTCAATGCAAAACTAAAGATTTTGCAGGCACTGTTTTTCATATCAAAATTATATTCCTCTTTTACATTTAATTTCATTGGGGCTTATTTCATCCCTTAACCTATTGCCCCCAAAGGGCCGACAATGTCGGCTCCATGCCTGATTAAATTTCCAACACTAGCTTACAGAAGTAATCAAAGTTCAAAATGCAGGCCTATAGAGTCAATTGGAAGCTTAAACTGACCTTGCGGAATGGAAGTGAAAAACTCCACTGTCATTTTCCAAGAGCAGGAATCTTAATAAATTGCTGACCATGTCAAAAGGGAATAGTGTCATGTTTTTTTTGTTTGAAATGTGTCTGGTTTTGATAAATACAATGAGTGGTAATAAGCACTTAAATCCAATATTCTAGTTTCTTGACGTCAAATGGGAAAATGCCTTCTCTCTAATCTAATTGGCAAATGACACAAGTAATTCAGAAGCAATATCTAATGACCCATATCTCAGAACTCCAGCAACATCAAAAAAAGGTTAAGGATTTCCATCCTTCTGTGCTAATGTTTAAACCGGATTATTTCTTTTGCTCTTTCTTGTGCCTATCAATTTAAGAGGCAAATTGGACAGGAAGTGGAGAGCAAAGAAAAGGTATGAGCCTTATGTTGCAGAACAACATTCCTCTTCTAGGAACGAAAGGTATTTGGTTTCTTGAATGAAAACCAAGTAATAAGGAAACTAATGTTTTAAAAAAAGGACATACTTATAATCTGGTGCACTCCAAATATAACTGTCTACAGTTAGTCCTCGACTTACAACCATTCATTTAGTGACTCTTTGAAGTTACAACAGTACTGAAAAAAGTGAATGATGACTAGTTTTCATAGTTATAACCGTTGCAGCATCTCCATGGTTACATGATCAAAATTCAGGCACTTGGCAACTGACATGCATTTATGACAGTTGTAGCATCCTGAGGTCATGTGATTGCCATTCGTAACCTCTTAGACGGCTTCCGACAAGCAAAGTCAATGGGGGAAGCCAGATTTGCTTAACAACTTCATGATTCACTTAACAACTGCAGTGATTCACTGAACAACTGTGGCAAAAAGGTCATAAAATGGGGCAAAACTCACTTAACAACTGCCTTTTTTAGCAAAGGAAATTTTGAGCTCAGTTGTGTAACATATACTACTTGTATACATGAAATGCTTCAAGGAAGTTTGCCTTACAATAAATTGCTGCCTAAGTACACTTGCCATCTTAAAGACAGGATTCACTTTTATCCTTGATACACCACACTAGCTTTGAAATGTACCTACCTTAGTTTCAAGTAAGTTTCAAAAAATTTAAATAATCCATTTGTGCACGCCCATTACCCCCCAGCACATGGGGAAACTCACAACATTAGGAAATGAACAGTGTCTAATTTAATTTCTTCAGGATTATCCCCAATACCTATTACTCAAAACCTCAAGGGAACTCTCCTTGCAGCCTTTATGATAACTACCAGCCCTTCCAATTTGCTTTTTAAATTAACTAATTGGCTAACATTCCCCACTCCCACCAGTAAATAGGGTTGTCGTGTTCCCCCACCTCCCTCTCCCTCTCTCTATATATGTGTGTGTATGTGTGTGTGTATACATATACACATATACATACATACACATGTGTACATTCACATACATACACACACATACACAGAGAGAGAGATGTGGGAAAAAGGAAGTACCTGATGTTGGGGACTATTTTATTTCTTCGGGAATTCATATCCAGAAGGCTAGCTCGAAGGAAAGGAAAAACCTTCCCGGAGAAGGAGGCAACACAGCCTTTTTATAGGCAGCAGGGAGATGGGAAATCAGTGATTTGAAAATATTTGAAATTTGGTTGCTGCTTAAGGAGAAACCTCGAAACGTCCCCACTCCTCCCTTCTCCTCTCTCACCTGCCGTCGCCACCGGACTGTCAACGCCGCCTCCGGGGCCCCCAGCCGCTGCCATGGTGGCAACCGCGGGGCAGCCGAGCTCTCCCACTGTAACGGACACTTCCGCATCCTACTTGCCGGCCTCATTCCGTTTCCGTTAGAACCTCAGCTGGCCATAGAGATGGCACAGAAAGCGAGAGGGTAGGCGGGGTCAAATCCCACATTGATAATATTCTTCCTAGAGCGTCTCACGGCGTGGGTGAAAGTGTCATACAGTTTTGCAAAGACAGATTGATTAATTCCGCACTTTTCGACTCGCGAAAACACAAAGGCTGGTCAAGTGTTAGGATCCCACTGCAGAAGCCAGAAATCTTTTAGCCCAAGGAAAACTGGTTGCGGAGGGCATTGATGAAACAGGAGAAGTGTGGAATGGGCAAGGAGATGAAGAAGAAGGTTTAGTATAATGCACGGGTGGGCAACCTCGGCTCTTTTATGACTCATGGACTATGCTATGCTGACTCAGGAATTCTGGGAATTGAAGTCCATGACTCATAAAAGAGCCGAGGTTGCCTACCCATGGTATAATGGTTAAGGATCAAGGCTAGAAACAGGAGACTATAAGTGCCAGTCTCGCCTTAGGCATGAAACCCAGATACTTAACTTTGGGCCAGTCGCTCTCAGCCCTTGATATCAGGGTCAGTCAATTATTGTTGCAGTCAGGTCACCCTGATACTCTTGCCTTTTATTTTGCCCACAACCCTGTCAGATGGGTAGGGCTGAGAGAAAAAGACTGGCCCAAAGTTACCCAGCTGGCTTTCAACAGGACTCGAACTCACTACCTCCTGGTTTCTAGACCAGCACTTCCACCACTACACAAGACTGATTCAATGAGATGGCCCAACACCAGGCACTCAGTGTATCCTCAACCAAAGTATTCAACAAAATACCCTAGAAGAATTGTGTAAGAAGTGAAAAACATTGGAGAACTAAATACAACCTTAAGATAAGTTTATGGTGGGCTTAGGACAAGGCAAAGGATAAGGGAACATCGGTAGGACGTGTCCTTCAGAAATGGATTGTGGGGTCCTTGGACCACCATCTCAAACTAGTGACCCACTTCGAAAGAAAATAGTCTTTCAGTCTGAGTCACAAAAATCTCCACAACTGGAATGCTGTCATTTGAGAATACAAGTTGTCTCCCAAGTTGCTAAGAAGACAACAGAGGCATCTGCAAGATTGGAGACTTTTATCGTTATGAGAAAGAAACAACATTGCCTATTTAATGTATGTGTGCAACACCATGATACACATACATAAAGAGTAGAACATAAAGGCGTGACACTCCAATGTGGGTCCAGGGAGTATCACTGCATATGATACTTCCAGGACATCTCTAGACACAGGGTGGGGCAAGACAGAGCAAACACACAATCAAAACTCTGCCTTTTTGGTATTACACATGCAAAAAAAATACTCATGTGAAACAATTCAATGGATGCCACTGGTGTGAGGCAATGTTATAGTTCTTGTTAATAAAAAAGCCCCAAGAGCACCACATTCTTGTGAGTCCAATTTCCACTGTTGATTATGTAGCATCACATCGGTATCAATTTTTAGTGACCACATAATTTTATTTATGATAATTTGCTCTAACCTGGTGTTTCGTGTCTTCCAATGGTGTTCTTATTATCACTATAACTGAGTCCATCCATTTTGCTACTGGTCATCATCTCAGGTCAAAGCCTTTTTCAGAGAGCTAGGTCTTTGCATATTGTGTCCAAAATGTCCGCTATTATAAAGGATGTTCTGACATGATTCAGAGCAAGCAAAAGGCTAATTGGATTCTTGGGATGTTAGAAAAACAGGTCAGCTGATATAAGAATAGGTGTGGTACTTCTGAATGAAATTCATCTGATCATTGCCTTAGATTACCTTAAATGCAATATCTGATACTTACATCAGGTCAAATATGCATTTGGAGTACAGGCAGTCCACAATCCACAACTACAATTGGGACCATTGCTAAGCAAGGCAATTGTTAAGTGAGTCGCATCTAATTCTATGACCTTTTTTGCAATGGTTGTTAAGCAAGTCACTGCAGTTAAATGAATCATACAGTTGTTAAGTGGATCTGGCTTCCCCCATTGACTTTGCTTGTTGGGAGGTGTGCTGAGAAAGTCACAAATGACAATCATATGACCCTGGGACGCTGCAAGTGTTAGAAATATATGCCACTTGCTGAGCACCCAAATTCTGATCACATGACCATAGGGATGATGGGATGATTGTAAGAGTGAGGACCAGTCATAGTCACTTTGTCAGTGCCGCTGTAACTTCAAACAGTCGCTAAACGAATACTTGTAAGTCAAGGACTACCCATAATGATGGAGTGCTGATTTGCCTCTCATTTAGAAGAGTAGTAGTTTGCCAGTAAAACATGTTAACAGGCATGAGGCCTAGTGGCATTTCTAAAGAGAAGCTAGCATTTCAGCTCATTGCCATCTTAAATCACCTAGAAAGCAGCATCCAGCTTCAACAGTAGAAATTATTCTATATAATGTCTCGGATTTACTCTTCTTACCAGATGTTGCAGCTGGGAAGGGCAAGAGCAAAGCACATCATGGATGCAGGCAGAAGGCATACAGGTGGACAGACCAGCTTTTGTCAGGGTGTGGTGACTTCCTGTGTACTCAGGAGCTAAGTAAACTCTAGTGTGACGCTAGGGTGCGTCACTTCTCGATCTTGCTTGGCATTCCCAGACTGGCACCCCAGAGGGTGGAATTTACAGGAACTTGTCTTGTTGGTTTAATTAGGCTGGCATTCTTCCCAGTAATGGAATGTTCTGCTTTTAATGATGGGTGTGAACCTCAGGTCAAATCCGGGTGAGAGGAAGGCATAATGTTACATTCCGTTCTCTCTTCTAGGAGTGTCTAAATATGAATAATGCTATCTATATATAAGGCTGGTGAATAAAGGTACATGGAATATGTGTGTGGTGCGTTTGTGTACACATTAGATCTATTGTCACGTCAGAGGAGATACTGGCACGGATAACTTTCACCTAGTTGGGATCCTGCAGCAAGGGCAATCCAGGCACGCAGCTTGCTAGACAACCCTTCTCCTTCTTTTATTTTCAGTCCCTAGAACCTTCTAAGATGTATCACCAAACCATGTTGGCAAATTATTAGTGCAAGTTGCTTCTGAAAACAATGGACTGAAAACATTGTCCTGCTTTTTGAAATCTCTCTCTCTCTCTCTTTCTCTCTCTCTCTCTCTCTCTCTCTCCCTCCCTCTCTCTCTCTCTCTCTCTCCCCTTGCCTGCCTGTCTCCCTCCTCCCTCCATGACGATTTTTACTTGACCCTGATGTGGCAACTGTAGGCTTTGTCATCAGCAAGAGGCATTTAATAGACAAATGTGAATCATGGCAAGTGTCATAACATGTGAACCGCAGGGGACACTGAGTTCCTATGAAACTTGGGAAGAGGCTTTCCAAGTGCAGTCTTATTTGTTTCTGTCAAATTAAATACTTTGGAAGCTACAACTGGCACAGCATGCAGCCACGTGGACAATTCTAGGGGGCCTGCAGGGTAGCCCCGTAATACCGTTGTTGAGTGAGCTGCACTGGTTGTCAGTTTGTTTCCAGGTCCAATTCAAGGTATTGGTTATTATCTTTAAAGTTCTTTATGGCATGGAACCAGGTTACAGCATATGAGGAACTGTCTCACCCCAATGGGATTGGCCCATCTCACTCAGTCTGGCAGAAAGGGCATGTTGCCAACCCTGCCAACCGAGGAGTTTTGCCTGGTGTGGTCCAAGAAGAGGAGTCTTTTCTGCCATGGTTCCCACCCTATGGAATATCATGCCACTCAAGAGGAGATCCGCTCCCACCCTCCTGGCCTTGCAAAAGGGCCTGAAAATCTATCTCAGCTGATTGGCTTGGGGCCTTGATGGTGCATTCCACTTTGGAGATGGTTAGTAAACTAAGATCCCACCTCCTCTGATTGAATCCTTCTTACCTAATATTTTTATTAACTTTTAATGTTCCATGTTTTAATGTTTTCACCTTCCTGACCTGGTATTGTTATTGAAAAGAGGAATTCATGCAGCACGCTGTATTAAAACATAAATGGGTCATTTGTGACATAATGTGTTGTGCAAACTCATCGGATGCTGGTGGTTTAGTACTTCATGTCAACTCAGCTAATTAGGTTTTAGTACAGTAAATTATAGTTAATTGGTGACTTAGCCACTTCCATGACAACTGTCAAAGAGTTGCCCTTATTTTATGATGGGGAATCCAAAAATGAATAATATTATGTAAATACAATAGATGTTCCCTAAAACAGGAACAGCAAGCATCCTTTTCACCTTTTTTAATGTTGGTTTCTTTATTCACTTCTTTGGAGGACTAAGGGTACAAAATCACATTAAATGTCTTTTGCTCATCTTAAAAAAGTTTAGATCAGACCTTGGTAAGGTGATACATGGGAGGCTATCAGATACTTCCACTGCTTTTTTAGCTAGCCTGGGAAGCTGAAAAACATCTTGGAAAAGACAATGTATTTACATAGTAAGAAATCTGCATGGTTAGTTGTTGGTTATTTAGTTATCAAATGTATATAGTCACCTATTTACCCAAGGAATTCTGGGAAAACCTTCTAACTATATGTGTCCAAATAGTCACCAGAGTACAAATTTGCCCCAGTGGAGATTACCTAAGACAGGGATAGGCAACATTGGCTTTTATGACTCGTGGACTTCAACTCCCAGAATTCCTGAGCAAGGCCATGCTGAGGGGAAAGGGACAGGCTTCCAAGCTGAGCCATGCTGGCTCAGGAATTCTGGGAGTTGAAGTCCACGAGTCATAAAAGAGCCAAGGTTGCCTATCCCTGACCTAAGAGATAAAACCAATGTTTGGAGACACTGTTTTTCAGTCTCAGTGAGTTTAATATGTGTGTGGTCTTCAATTCCCAGAATTTCCCAGCTTCAGCCCAAAAGGGCATTTTAAAAAAAAGACCCCTCCCTTCACTGATATATGCTTCCATCATCCCCCCCCCCAGGCCCAGGCAAGAGAGTTAGCTTCCAACCCACTAAGACAGAACAGCACATTGAATGAGAAAATGAGATTGATGAGCTTCTTAGTGACAGCAACAAGGAT